CTTAGCCGGTCACTATCTTAGCGAATATCACTTTAGACTAATGACTGGCCGTAAACTGGTTGGACCAAAATCAGCTGCCACAATCAGGAGAATAAATATTGCACTAGCTGAAAGCCCATAAAGTATGATTAAGAAGTAGTGCTACCCTAAGCTACACATAAATGCAGGCTAGGCAATTCACAGCTGCATACTGCCTACCATTAACGATATCAGAAGGGCTGAATGCTTTATCATTTCCGTATCTATTTTTATTGCTTATGTTAAACACCTTTTCTAAACCTGATAAGACTGCAGCTGCCCTACCTGCTAAAGCTAAATTCGGCGCTGTTGCAGGGCTCTCATTTTTAATTTCTTGAATATCTGATTGCTCTGTTACCATTGCCACTTATACGTAACGTAAATGTGTCATGTTTAAGCTCTCTCTAAATAACGCAACATGTAACTGTAAGACCCTAACTTTCTCAGCCAGCACACGCAGAACAGATACCCAGAAATTGAGCATAGCATACCATTGCCCAAAAGTTGATGTATTTATAGATTACGAAGACATGACCGTGCTATCTTTACTTAATGCATTAAACAAATATATTGCTTTAACTCACGCAGCATGCACAGGATATACAGCTGTTGAGAATAGCGACCCATGCCGAAATTTAGGTATCTACGTTTAATAACACAGTATAAAAACGACCATGCTATTCGGTCACATTGCCCCATTGGGCTTAAGGTTAAAGTTAGGTAATACAGCTCCCATAACAGAACCATATGGTTAAGACCTGTCAACATACACAGTCATGGGCCGCAATGCCTGTTTCATAACATCCCACCTCGTTGACACGTGTCGCCATCAGATTATCTGCAGGCTTCAGTTAATGATGATGGATTTATATAATTATAGGACCTATCCGGGTGCAGTCATATAGATTATCGCAGTATATAGGTTACACAACCTGAAGGCACCATCCGTTATTCTGTAAGGATAACACTATCGAGATGATAGGCTATTGCATGGGCACAGTAGGCTTATAATAGAGCACGTCAGCATCAGAATAAATAGGCTATTCATTACAGTTCACCTAAATAGTCAGGCAATCGCATTATATGACGGATACCAATATGCTTAAATCTAAACATAAAAATATAAAAATAGAAATAACCGTGCACATTGAGGCACATACATAGGCTGACAGCTCTGATGATTAGGCACTCACTCCGTGGCATACTCATACTGCGATCAATTAGCCGCTGTTATAAGTAATCCAAGTTCAACATACTGCTGTATACTTTATTAGAATATTTAGATAATGCTTCATGTTAGCAGATAATTTGTAGAATCAATACCGTTAAATACATGTAACATATGCTAATATACTTAAACTTTTTCGCCCTACCAGGCACCGACTGTTTGAATTTGACATATACTATGCTTGATGGTAATTGCCTCTGACATATGTTAACTATGATTTGCTTACCTCCCTTGCGTGGGATGACCGCTTATTGAACGAACCAATAAAGCAGATTTAAAACAAAAAGTTTACTTTTTCTCCTTCTACAATAGAGGTCTACCATAAGGCTCTTACCCCTTGGCCAGGAATTTCTATCCATTCATCATCCTCTAAGAAAGCTGGTAATCCAGGTCCAGATCCTAGATAGAGCATCCGCTCTCACTTTAATGAAACTCATAACTGAGCTCCGTTTTGATCGTTGATAAGTCAGTGGATACACCCTCAACTTATACCATGTGCCCAACATCGGTTTGCTGAGCACTTTTAGTGGATCCTACATCCATATCTCCTGTAGAGAAAACTCTCAAGAGTGGAGAGCTTGCAATAATCTTTCTACTTTTCTACCAAATTGGAACCTTTCTAAAGGACTTTCTTTTAATTTCCAGAGTCATGGTGGATATAGAGGCTATCTCTTCTAGTAGGTGAATAAGCTAGGTTCTGGCAGTGAGTTATGTAAACTTCCATTGGCGATCTATTGCAGACAGTCACAGCAAACACATCAGTTTTCCTGTTTCGCCAGTCTTTGACTTCTGTCATAACCATCTGTCATCTGATTTCAAGAACTATCGCCAACCGATCTTAAGTAGGCCCGAAACATATCGCGTACCATCTGAGTATTAGTTCCCAATATTATGGGAATCCCAAGATGTCCTAGGTTTTGGCCACCAAAGCTTCCACATTCATAAGATTTGTAGTTTCATTATCTTATTGAGGTATCATATTTGCACTTTAATTATATCTTCGACAGGGTAAGCTTGGGAACTCAATCCCCACAATTTCACATCATCTGCTGGTGATATTGGTAAGTGAGTCAAGTGTTTATCATAAAAGGATTACTTGGGATCCAGTTATTAAAAGGGCCAATGTATGAATCCCTTCGATTATAAGTCGTACAAGTGATTTAGGCCCTATTCTAAGATTCCAATGCATAAGGGCTCTTATTAGGAGAACTCTAATTTCTATTCCTTTTTTTCCCTTTGATGCATGTCTGCTCTGCATCCTAGGCCAAGGGTTAATGTTTCTACATTGAAATAATCTTCTTTTACTGGACATCTGTTTGCTATGTGCTCAGTCTGTTCACAATTGAAACATATAACACACAAATTTAAATTAACAAAAAAGTGCAAAATAATAGCTAACGTAAGAGAAACTCTGCTGCTGTGATGTCTTAGTGTTTTGTAGTTTCTGCAGCACCACAAACACAGTCTGTATATGCTCAGCATACAAATCCCACCCACCAACGGGTGCATATCTTCCACAATATGGTTGGTGCACAAGGTTGGGGCAATTGGTGTAGGTAGCACAACCCTAATGGATTTTATGTTGCTGATGAAAATAAAACTTACTCGGACTCTTCAATAAGTTTCAGATCCAGAGAAATGCCTGTTTTTGTTTTTTCTAGTCACTCAGTAAGGATTAGACTACATCTGTCACTTAGGATAACTCTTGCTCACCAGCTTGTTGGGCCTTCAATGAGCACTCCTCGACTGGGTAATTAGCAAAATACTTTCTTTCTAGTAGATAATGTTGTGTATCTCTGCATATCAGGAAAACTCTTTGGTATAGGGTGATCCTAAGAGCTGCTCTAGTCACTTTTCTGAGAACACAGCTAGACATGTACATCTCAGGCCTAGCTCAGTCCCTAGTGCTTCTTCTTGTTCCCATTAGCCTCTGCTCCTCCCATCATTTACTGGTTAAAGCACAGAGACTTTGGGATCTGTAGTTTGGTTACATATGTTTAATAATTTATATCCCTCTATTTATGCAAAGAATAATGAACTAATAAGATATATTTTCCTGTAAAGAGGCCTGATTTAGCTTTTTAGTTGCAACTGAGCTAGACTAAATTCAAGAAATTACTGATTTGTCCACTTTTTTTGTGCAAATTAGTTACGCATACATATTGCAATTTATATTTCTTTTGGTGTGTATTCAGAGCTCAAGGGTTAAACTGTTTCCACGTTGGCAATGTTACAAACAATATTAGAGACTGCATCAAAAGATTCCTCTCTGAATATCTTAAATTAATTGTTGCCATTAACCCCAACATAAAATTGTATGTTCATTTATAAAAGAAAGCAAATTATTACAAATGTAATGATCAGTGGTGGAACTAATGTAGAAACGGCACTGGTGCAGGACATTTTTGTTGGGTCCTCCCCAGCAAAAGGGTGGCCAAAATGTAGATTACCATCTGTCATATTTCTCCCACGGTGTGTTGCCAACTGGAGATCTACCATTTGCACATCCTTGCAGTGTTTTATTTGCGGGCACTGTTTGTATGTTTGAATGTAAGTGTATTTTTTATTTGAGCAGGAACGCTGTTCCTGCTGTTCCTGCAGGCACTCTGCCGCTCCCAAATGCCCTCCTCCTCTCCCCGTGTTCCCCTTGTCATCTCAGACGCGGCGAGGGAGCTGTCTCTACTCTGCTCCCTCTTGCCGTGCGCCATTTGCTGATGCTGGGAGCCGGAATATGATGTCATATTCCGGCTCCCAGCTACAGTAGACAGCCCGCACTGCAAGAGGGAGCAGAGAGAACACAGCTCCCTCGCTGCATCTGAGATGGAGACAGGCGCCCAACCCACTGGACCCCAGGAACATGTCCACGCCAGCTCTCCAGGTAGGGAGGCTGGGTGGACATTTTTTAATAAAAAAATAATAATTTGTGAGTGTCTGTGTGTGTCTGTGAATGTATGTGTGTCTGTCTGTGAATGTATGTGTGTGTCTGTGTGTGTGTGTGTCTGTGATTGTATGTGTGTGTATATCTGTGAATGTATGTGTGTGTCTGTAAGTGTGTGTGTGTGTGTGTATGTGTGTCTGTGAATGTATGTGTGTGTGTGTGTCTGTGTATGTGTGTCAGTGTGTGTGTACACGTATATATACACGAGTGTATATCTTGGGAGAGTTCCCACACTTTATTCCCCAGGACTTGACCCCTGCCGGCAGGGGAGATCTCTGGATCTCCCCTGTCGGCTCATGCAGAGCCGGCGCTATCTGAGTGCCGGCTCTGCTCTAAGCCTCCATGGGCCGGCGGGGAGATCAAAGATCTACCTCACCGGCCCACAGCAGCATGGAGGGAGGCAGGAGAGGACCCGGGGAGCTCTAGACAGAAGCTCCGCCAGGTTCCTCTCGCGAGATCTGAGCGTTGCCACGGCAATGCTCAAATCTTGCGAGAGTGAACTCTAGCCCCGCAGGCTAGAGTTCACTCTCCACTGGACCACCAGGGATGGCACATGGCAGCAAGGATCCCCTCTCCCTACATAAGGTAAGAAGGGAGGGGAGATATTTACTAATCTGCCCCCACCTTCACAATCCCTCCAAACATACAGCACACAAACACATACAGCACCCACACACACACACAGCACCCACACAGCACCCTCACAAACACAGCACACAAACAGCACCCTCACACACAGCACACAAACAGCACCCACACACATACAGCACCCACACATACACAGCACACATACAGCACCCTCACACACACAGCACACTCACACACACAGTACACTAACAGCACTCTCACAAACACACACACACAGCACCCTTACAAACACACAACACCCTCACACACAGCACACTAACAGCACCCTCACAAACACACACAGCACCCTCACACAAACAGCACACTCACACACAGCACACTAACAGCACCCTCACAAATACACGACACAAACAGCACCCTTACAAACACACAACACCCTCACACACAGCACACTAACAGCACCTTCACAAACACACACAGCACCCTCACACAAACAGCACCCTCACACACAGCACACTAACAGCACCCTCACAAACACATGAGACAAACAGCACTCTCACACACAGCACCCTCACACACACACATCACACAAACAGCACCCTCACACACACAGCACACTAACAGGACCCTAACACACATACACAAACACCCTCACCCACAGCACACTACCAGCACCCTCACACACAGCACACTAACAACACCCTCATCCACATAGCACACTACCAGCACCCTCACACACACATCACACTAACAGCACCCTTACACACATAGCACACTACCAGCACCCTCACACACACATCACACAAACAGCACCCTCACACGCAGCACACAAACAGCACCCACACACACAGCACACATACAGCACCCTCACACACACACAGCACACATACAGCATCCTCACACACACAGTACACTAACAGCACTCTCACAAACACACACACACAGAACCCTTACAAACACACAACACCATCACACACAGCACACTAACAGCACCCTCACAAACACACACAGCACCCTCACACAAACAGCACACTCACACACAGCACACTAACAGCACCCTCACAAATACATGAGACAAACAGCACCCTCACACACCCAGCACCCTCACACACACAGCACCCTCACACAGCACACTAACAGGACCCTAACACGCATACACAAACACCCTCACCCACAGCACACTACCAGCACCTTCACACACACATCAAACAAACAGCACCCTCACACACACACACAGCATCCTTACACACACACAGCACCCTCATGCAGTGCACTAACAGCACACACACACACACACAAACAGCAGTGTGTGTGTGTGTGTGTGTGTATGTGTATATATATATATATATATATATATATACATGCGGCGTGTGTTTGTGCTTTAGGGTGCACACCCTAATGCAATAGGCTGCGCACTCCTATGAGTGTGTGTGTGAACGCAGGGGTCTATTTGTGTGTAGTGTTGGCATTTAAATGCAGTTGTGTCCACACTAACACACACGCATGTACCCACACTGACACACACACTGATGCACACATATACCTCCACACACAGATACACATACACACTGGCACATACACAAGTCTCAATTGACTTATTTTTAGCCACCTCCTGGCATCCATATCTTTTGGGTGCAGTGAAGACAGGAACAATATATAAACTATTTTTTGAGTGATCTTTATTTTTTAGATGCTGACACCCCCTCTTTTTGGAAGGATGATCAGATAGAACCACAGTGGTCTTCTCACTCTGAGACTGTGTGTAGAAATACAAAGTCTGCCAGGGAAAGAATTCATGTTCTGTTGCTTTATCACTATTTTTCCTCGAGGGAAATAACTAATGAATATCAATGAATATGAATACAGCTTGGATAAATTCCCAGAATCGAGAATGTACCCGTCCAAGAAGCATAGTTTCAATGATAAATGGTTTTGTTGGTGATTTTTTAATACTCCATATTCTCTCATACAATTTTAAAAGGAATATAAATGTCTAAAAATACAAAATAAACATAAACATTTTTCCTTAAATAGAGTTTGTATTATCAAACAAAATTCTGCATAAGCCAGCTCTGTAAGAAGCTCATTTACGCGGTTATTGAGCAACTAAAAATGTGCAATATTGTGATTAGCAATGGACTGTTGATGCTATGTTCTCAGATTTAGCACTTTGCACCATGGTACCTACGGAACTGACTTATAGGTAATAGAACATTTTCCCCTATGCCAGCTACACCAAAAAGCCCGATAAGAGTGAAATTCTGCTTGGTTAAGCCTGCAGGGTTGTGTTGAGTATTTTTCAACCAATCTAATTTATTTATAAAATATTTTACCAGGAAGGATACATTAAGATTTCTCTCATTTTCAAGTATGTCCTGAGTTTTTCAAGTATGTCCTGGGTTATGTGACTATGCAATTAATTAAATAGTTTTAGTCCATTACCAAGTAATTAGTATATGCCCAAAATTTATTATTTGTCATACACTTTCCTAAGTCTAAATGCATTACATATATCAACATTTAGCCATTTACCAAACACTGCTATTGTAACATGATCGAGAGGTTTAATACCAAAACTTTTGAAAAACAAGATTTTATAATGGTATTTGGTCTTATCAAAGTGAAGCAGTTATTAAGCTTTTTCTCTGCATTTTTGTATAACATCATTTGTGGTCAGGGATAATCAACTGCGTATGTAAATCAGAGGTGGTGTGCCAAAAAATCGACATTCGGGTTGTCCTGTAAATAAAAAGGGCCCACCAAAATGAATAGCTTTAAAAAAGGAGTGGTGGGTGGGCTGATCCAGGCAGTATCGGCCCATTGAAATGGGTGGCCTGTGTGTTTATTGGCTGGGGAAGGCTACGCCTTCCTATACACCAATCATAATTTTCAATTACTGTAAAATTAAACATTTTCCTTTGTAATCCTGATATTAGGTGAATCTTGATTTTCTTGATGCAGTGTGTAATAAGGTGACAATCATAAAATGCAGAACTCCAATTATAAAGATTACAGTTTACTTATACCTACAACTTGTGATACAGGCATGGTAAATAAAATCCATGATATATTTTATTAGGACTTACCTTTCAGTGATGGTTTCTCTCAGACCACTGGTAACTCCTTTAACCACAGTACTAGCCTTTGGTGTTAGTACCACCTGAGAGATAAAAAACAATCCTTTCTTTCTCCGTTCAGCGACTGAAGATTGCAGAAACTGAATGAGTTTTTCAGTGTCCGTGGTATTTGCCCAGGGTGCCGGCATCATTTGCCCAGGCCACAGAAAGGAAACTTCGAGAGCTACTGGACTGTGATAAAACACCAAGATTTGATAATTCCTCTCCCACAGATAGTGGAGGCTAACTTCCTGGGCAAAAATAGCTGGGCACATTTTATTCCCAAAGATGTCCTTTAGCATTTGGACTAGGTTTTCATGATGGTATTTTTGCATCCCATAAAAATGATTGAAGTCCAAGAAGACCACTTCTTTACTGTGACTGGACAGAAAGGCATTCATTTCTTTAAGACCTTCATTCACTTTGGCACTAAATAATCCATGAGCAAAATACAATTCATTATCAGGGTCTCTAGGCTTTGTTGAAATCCGGAGATCAAAATATCTTATGCCAGCCTCCATTTGGCTTGTAAAATTCATGGTCTGAGTGGCTAACCATTTTCTCATCAATTTTTTAGCAACAGTACCAAACACAGACACAAAATTTTGGACGGTTTCTGGTTGTTCTGGTCCCACTGGAGAAGCCTCGTCAATGTAGAAGCTAAAGGAGTCATGAGACCCTAAAAAGCAAGAAAAACTCTAATTTAATTTTGAAAAAAAATGTAAATATTCACTTGACATAAGATTTTCATTTCTTTTTTCACAAAAGACATTATTAATATTTTGTTGGGAACAGAATTTGTTTACTAAACCCCAAACGCTGACTGTGTTTTGAGCATAACCAGCAGGGATATACAGGGTTATTTATTAAACACCAAATTTTAGCAAATGAAATCCAAATAGCAAAATTAAGGTTAAAATAGTCAACTGGTCACTAATGCTGAGATGAGATTTTTTTTTAAATTCGTGATTTAATTGTCGATTTTATCATTAGGAATTAGTTCACTAAAATTTGGAATTAAGTGAATAACCCTGTATACAGACTTTAAAAGCACTTTTTTGGAAGAGAGCATACTTTTGGACGTTATCCTGTTTATTGCTTAAAGATAATTTACTAACCAATAACATATTGGAATTATTTTGAATGTATGTCACTCATTAATATGTATTAAAAGACCACCTTGATGAACCTTGCGTTTTTACCAAAGAAATCCAGAATCTATGTCCATCTGATCATTTCTCCCAACTGGTTGAATCAACAAGGTTTCAAGAAAAAAAGGTTGGTCATCCAAAAGAGGGTTACAGATCCTGGTCAGAAAATACCCATTTCACTCGCCTACTGGAAAATCTCAAACTTTGAATGATTTGGTTGGACTTATATAAATGAAATGTGTTGCACTGTTCTTTCACAAATGAACGGATACAAAAATAACAGGTGGTAACAGTTTCCTCTAATATTAACCATGTTTCCCTTCACAGTTGTTACTGATATAATATCACTTTGTAAAAGTGTCAAGATTATTGTTCTAATGAGAGCCTGATACCACAATAATTGGTACTCTGACACTGCAAGTAAATAGCAGAGCGATAAAAACACTATACGCTTAATTAGTTAATTTCCAATTCATTTTCCTATTTTAGCAGTTCTATAACACACCAGCTGGACCAGGAATGTGCATATAAATATCATATCATATAATATCCAGTGCACTCACTCATTCTTTAAACAGCAATCCCGGTGGGGGATATTTATGGAATTGTTTGTACTAGATAGAAGTGCAAACATGTAAAAGGGAAGGAGTCACCAATGGAATGTACCTGTTGGTTGCACTGGTTCCCATTGTGATTGCCCCAATTCTAGTAATTGAGACCACTTTACAAACAGAAAACTTTGAGAAATAACCTTCAATGACATTTTAACAAATACTGATCTCACACTCCAGCACTGAAAACTATCAAGATGTACAAGATTAGGAGAGTATTGAGTGCACACCAATGAAGGAACTCACTTTACCTCCTTGGGGTACAGTTCCTTCTGATGTTGCAAGACACTTTGCTTAACCTGGAGATGTTCACTGAAACAGCCCAGGAAGGAGAACCTACTATATTAATTCTTCATCAACTGCTTCACTGCGACAGTAATAACCTGACCTTGAAAGAGATCTGTCAGTAGTTTAATTTATTTCACAGATTACTAATAAACTAATAGGCAACTCATAATACTACAGCAGATATTGTCCACTTGTCCACTTAATTCCTAGTTGTAGATGAAGGAAATAATTTCTACATCCAACAAGACTAAAAATCATGTTTTTCCCGAAGCATTGTGGCATGCGTAAATGTATTTTCAATTACCAGTTGATTGTATTACCAACCTTAAGATTATTTTATTATACTAACCATCAGGAGAATCACTAGGGAAATATTATCTTTATTACATTGTCACAATCTTAATGCAGAATTAACCTTGCAAAATTGTAAAGAATATCTAGACCTTTCCAAAGCAAAATGCTTTTGAAAGGGTCAATCTAAGAATAAAATTAAATTGTTCCAAAAACCTAGTAGATGTTAATATATGGTCTGGCAGACGGCCATTTTAGTCCTTGGAAATAAAGGCTTAACTAAAATAAATTTATAGTCAATATTAGATGGGATCCTGGCCCAAAGTAACTAAGAAAACCACAGCCTGAGATTGAATATAATTCAAACAGTATAACTCATTGAAATACAGCTAGGAACGTATTTTTAAAGACTACTATTTGTGTTACTAATATTAGGAATTAGGGCATCATTGATTTAGAGTGCTAACGTTATAATTTTGTTTATGAAGTGCTGAATATTTTTTCTTCTTTCCAACTGGGGAATGGCCATGAGTTAGGCATGTGACAATAATTTTCATAGTGGAAGCACTGCTTAGACGCAAAAAGAAAAATAATACATTATAATTCAACATATTGGTGTCTACTTGTTGGTAGAATTGAAAAAGAAATACACCCAAATAGCACAACCCCCTGCTTTTTCCTGCTCAGATTACAACAGGATATTAACATAAATGGTCCTCAGAATATTGATTTTCCTATAATAGCCCGAGGACCATACCTATATTCTGGTGGCTGCATATTAGAACAATACTCACATGCCAAACAACCATATATATGTAGTGCCAAGAAAAATACTCCAAACACAATAGTATATAATAATAAGAACAATACAATCAATAAGAGCAATAAAAAACACACAGGATAATAAAAGAGTCCACAGTAAAACTTGAAAGAATAAAAATACCAAATGGTACGGCACAGTCTCAAAGGTGGCAATAGATATTCTAGTCCAGGTATGGGACTTTCTTGGTAGCTTCGCTTAATAGCAGAATATGAAAAGGTAAACTAATAGTGCAATATGGTAGTACGTGGTAGGACATACGACACTTAGATAAGATGTCAACTCACATATGGCAGAGCTATAACCAGCTCTAGGTAAAACAGCATGCAGTGGTATACAATCCCCACTTGCAGGACATCTCTCTGGTTTTGGTACACAATAGAATGATGGTAAATCACAACTGGATAACGATGAGGTAGATCATATGGATTGACAAAAATTATTCTGCCACGTACGTAAGTCTACTGAGAATCTTATTTAAATAGATCTTACTTGGGCATAACTTTTATTTAATAAAATAGAACCAGTTATTTTTTTCCTGTTCACATCAGCAAAACTATGGAAAATGATTTCTTCAAACATGTAAACTCTTTCTTAGTTTATCTACTAATTATTATTACTTAAACCGGCACTGTCACAATATAGACACTTTGCATAATTTGCAAACACCCCTCACTCCCAATGGTGACATTGCTGCTGAGGGTCCGGTGGCCAGTGAGGGCAGGCAAAGGTAAGTTCAGGTGAGAAAAGTGAATTCAGTGAATTCAGCCTTCAGCCAGGGGATCTAGAGTCACTTACCCCCACATATATATATTAATTTAAACCAAGCCTCAAGTCTACTCAAATTTGTACAAGGAAAGATGGTACATGCATATATTTTTACAGGGGTTATACTAAATTTAGAGTATAGTGTGCACAGCTGGGCACAGAAACGAAAACAATTATGCTACTGAGATTTTGATTTTAAAAAATGTAGCGCACAACCAATAGCAGTTTTGTTAGAGATTCCACTGTGCAAATATTTTGTAAGTAACAGATCTCCTTTAATCTTTGGCATTAACTCACAATAATTTTATACTTCCAAAAATGTTAAACTTTTTTTCTGAAAGTAGCATTTACAGATTATTCATTCCTGTTTACATTAAATAACTGTGATTAAAATAAAATGTTTCCGATTGGCTCAAAAGCCCATATGTTTACCAGATAATCAATTTCTAGTTTCCTTGAAAACATAAATATTCCAAGCCTAAAGTAGCAGCTGTAATTAATCTGATATAATGAATATCAACAAGAAATATATATACATTTTTTTCATTATAATAAACAAACATGCTCACAATTGTTACACATTGATAATGCATGCTTGTTAACCCCTTTACTGTTATTTTGCAAAGATAAAAAACAAACCCATTTATTTGAAACAAGGCATTCACTGCTGGCGAATGAAATGGTGTCGAAAAATCACACATTTGTATATATATATTTCTGTTTAGGGATTCCTAAAGAATTTAAATGAAGTTACTTTACTATACTTTACGCTTTAAATTTTTGAAAAGTATTGGGATACAAAGTACAAGAGATTATGTGTTGTACCTGGCTTTGTAGTCCATAGGTCAGGCTTAGAAAAAATAACATGAATGTAAATCTTTCAACAAAGTACATGTGCAAATTAGAATTAAAAATGTCAGGTAGGGGGGCGGAGCCTTTCCTTAGAGCAGCTTAGACGTGTGAAGCATGAGCTCCCGTCTATTTAGATAATCTTGAAAATGATTTCAGCCACACAGCTCAAAAACTTACCAAGGTATAGTTCCCATGTCAGGGGTGCACAGGCAACTCTTTTGAGACTTTACCTGAGTTGCACAACCACTGGTTCCCGACACGTTGGTTGTGGACTGCTAGAGACAGACTTTGGGAGAGGCAGCCTCTCTTCTTGCTCATTGGCTCATGCTGTGGCCCACCAAACTCCTCCCCCCTTTGTACTGGTGGAGGATAACCCAGTCCCTTCTGGACAGTTTCTGCCTGCTTTAACTGCACCTACTTCTTGTCACTTGCTGCTACCGAGCAGAACCTTGACTATCTTAATTGGTGGATCCCCATCCTATGAGCATATTGGAGTCTGGCCTAATCCACAGAGCACACAGTCACATCCTGTGACTGGATTACATTTTTAGTCGCTTCTGGACTCTTCTACAGGAGCGGGTGGAAGCTAGCCTGACCGAGAATCAAGAGGGTGCCAGGAGAGGACAGGAAGGCCTGCGCCAGGCAGCAACCATCCACAGACACCTACTCAGCAACTTCCCAGCCAATGTAAGCCAAGAGTTACTAAAGGCCTTTTCTCTTTGCATCGATATCGTGTACAGAGGCAGAGCTGTCGAAAGTGGCAAATGCCATTTAGTATTTCTATTAAATGGCAAATATGTCTGGATTCCCTTCCCAACTTATGCTGCAGACTGCATGAGCACTGTACAGAGTGAGTCAAATAGGGAGAGGATGACAGTTTGCAGGTCACAATGCTAATAAATTATGAAGAATCAGCTTGATGGAATTGCACTGGAGTAGTTTGAAGGTCAGTGAGGGTTTATGTATAATATTTAAGGAACATTGCAGAAATCGCTATAGGGGTTATCATGCCAAGATTACCCTTGCACTCAGTCGTGTAAGTCAAACTGTTTTAGAAAATATTTGACTTTTACCTTAGGTCCGTGGGCACTACTCCCTGCCTCCATTACATCCTTCAAGGAGCCAGATGCTCTATGTTCGAGCTGAGCTGAGCAGTGCAGGGCTTAGTTCACTGGCTGAGAGCAATCAGCTGACCCTTTCATCCAAAGAGCTACCCTTGAACTGCTGGGCATAAGTTCTGAAGCAACAGGAGGTTTTGGATCTCTATAAGTAGTGGAAGCATAGATGGCACCATGGGGGCCACAGCTAACAATTCAAACCATTCTAAAATGGTTTGCCTACTTACAATAGGGGAGTGCCAGAGCACTTCTGGTACCATACCTACTACAGTTCGCAAACAAATGTAACACAAAACCTATTCAGTGCATAATCAGTGTTGAGCATTCTGTATGGTTAAAATGTATCTGTATATTTCTTGCACATACCCTCTGACATGTAATTATTGTTACTAGCTGTGAATTTGTGTTTTTCTGAGGAAAACGTTAATACAAATAATGTCTAAGGACATTCTTTTAAAACATTCCCCTTGGATATATATGTAGCATTAATGTATGCACTGAGTATGAATAATGCTCTACTTTCTTGACAGAGGAGACAGTCAGGGATGCAATAAATATAGCCTGTGCAAAAATACACTATGAAGACCACATCAACTGTTACATCCTATTATCTTAGAGTCTCTTCTTACTAAGGGCAAAACAGTACAATGCTTGGTGTTTCATGATAATTAGTAAGCTGACTTCACAGACAGGAGATTTAATTTGATGGACAATGCTACAAAATTCGTAAATATAGACATGGTTCTGTAAATTGGTGATATAATGTATTATTTTTTATTTATTTTTTTGACAATCCTTATTTTTGTTTTGTTTTTTATTTTTCCAACGTTTTCAGTATTTTAGTAAATCGCCACGACCATAGATAATGTATTATTAGATTCAAATTTAGCACTAATTAAAAGGACAAGGACTAAAGGATATCATGGTGAAGAAGCACAGGGACATAACCCAAAACAATTGTATTAACAATAAAAAAAGTTTAAGAAAAAAATCATGGGGGAAAGAAAAATTCTAAATAATTGAAAAGTTTTAGCAATGAAGAGTTCTTCGGTCGACAATTCAGGGATAGTTTATGATAAGGTTTAGAAGAGTTAGAGATGGGGGATTTAGAGTTAGATGTGGTTTAGAATGAAAGGATAGTAAGTGTTGAGGTTTAATCTGCATTCATTACAAATAGAATGATTTTCAGGAAAATCATGGTAGTTACAGAGAGCTATGGGGGGACAAGACACAGTCTGCAAGGTGGGCATGCCCTATACCATAAGTTAAAACACATGCTGCTTCCTTGCCAGGCCTCCTCAGTGAGTCTCGGTTGGGAAGCAAAGCACTGTACATTTCTATTTAAAGTGTGCTGCTTCTGCACCAGGTCCATGACTTCATGAGGAAACTGGGCAAGAGAGCAGCCCAAACTAACACTCCGCAATAATAACTCTGCCACCTTCCCTCCTCACCATGAGACACACTTGTCATAAATGTAATTGTTATTTTGTATATTGCTGAATCGTAAATATGCTAAATAATGATTTTGCCTGGCCATGACCCCCTCCTTCACAGGTGGAACTGCAGGGTCCTCTCAAGATAGCCACCATTGAGACCATGGTAGTTCCGTCACTATAGCTTGTTATCAACACAGCAAATGTAGCTCTTCATGTCTTATATTTTGTATTATTTTAATAAAAAATTACATGCATAACGAAACAAATAAGTTCAATTACATTTTAACCCTTTACCGACATTTATTAATATTAATAATAATTATATATTTGAGACCTGATTGACAACCGAGGAACCCATTGCAGAAATCCCAGAGAATTTCATTAGTAAGCCCTATATTTGACCCTGTAACTTTCCAAAACCCCATAAAACCTGCACAGTGGAACGTACTGTTGTATTCGTGTGTGAAAAATGGTGGTGTGAAAAATGCAAAAAACAAATCTGAACACTAAATTTGGCCAGGGTTTGTGATCAGATAATGTAACTAAACCCCCATAATTTTTTGCCTAGATTAGAACAAAATCTGTCAGCACCAAAGTTGCTGTTTAGTGGATAAGGGAGTGCGCTGGATTTTCATTTTAATTGATAATTAAAACGCCATGCAGAACTTGAAAATAAAATGTTTTAATTTCGCACACTTTTTTAGATTTTATCCAAATTAGGTTATGTGTCATATATATATATAAGTATTTGATGTGAAATGAAAGCCTTATTTCTTGTGAACAAAATTATATATAAGTGGGTGCTCTTAATATGAAAGAGTTAAATTATGGTTGAACAGAAATATAGCTGAAATATTTGGTTCAGAACTTGTACAAAAGCCTCCGTCCTTGGGGTTAATTAGTATGAAGAATAAAATGAAATGTCTGTAATGGTAGAGCATCAATACATTTTTTTTACACGTTTAAAACCATTTTGCTCACCATACAGAAACCATACACAGCTAAATGTGAGGAACTGTACAATACACTAAAACACACTGCACTCACTGTAAGTTGTTTTGCTGTTTTAGTATCTAGAAAACGCGGCATTAGACTGTAAAACAGACATACTGTCTACAATGGAATTAACAAAGCACCAGATTTTGTATATTGCACAGTAATTTCTTATTTTGTCCAATTTACAGTAGAGGAGGAGAAAAGACCCAATGTTGAGCCTTGGTAGCTCTCTCTCTGTCTTCTTTAAAGAGACTCTCCAGTGCCAGAAAAACAAACCATTTTCCTGGCACTGCAAGTTCCCTCTCCCTCCCACCCCCAATCCCAAGTTGCTGAAGGGGTTAAAACCCCTTCAGTGACTTACCTGTATCCAGCGCCGATGTCCCTCGGTGCTGGCTCAGGGTCCGCCCATGCTCCTCCCCCGCCGACGTCATCCGGCGGGGGAGTACTATTGCGCATGCGCGACAGCCGGAATGTGTGCTATAAACACGGAAGTGCCCTCTAGTGGCTGTCTAGGAGGCAGACACTAGACGAGGAGTTAACCCTGCAAGGTAAATATTGCAGTTTATGAAAACTGCAATAAATACACTTGCAGGGCTAAGGGTAATAGGAGTTGGCACCCAGACCACTCCAATGAGCAGAAGTGGTCTGGGTGCCTGGAGTGTCCCTTTAAGTACTGTTATATTTGTGTGCATGTTCATAATGAATCTGATAATTATGGAAAATGTCAGCTTTAAAAAACTGAATTGTTATGATTAAAGCGTATAACTAAGCCCTTTAATTGTGTTTGTGACTGTTTTATTTTTCTTAAGTTGACAACCTTATTTGCAATGTGTTATCCACTTGTGATTTTGCTGTAGTCTTTACTGAAAATGTGAGTTTAAATACAGTATTTAGAGTTCCAGTGATCTATGTGGGTGGTTGAAAAGTATGCCACTTATTATAGGCTTCTAGTTACTAAGATTGAGTTCTACTTCTGGCTCAGAGCATTTGTATGCCAGCTGGATTTTGCAAATTATTATTGTCTACATTTTGACTTTACAGAAATGGCAGTACATTTAGAATTGCTGCTTTTGCAAAATATTGCCTCAGTATGGTTACAAAAAAAGTCAAATAAATAGTTCAAAAAATTAAACTAACATATAACTTGGCAAATTTCATAGGGAGCTGAGATTTAAAAGGGAAAGTAAAGGGTACAACAATGAGTTGGTACAATTCTATCTCCAGTGTTTAGAATTCCCTGGATTCTTGCTCTGGTTTACTGGTGAGTTTAACTGTTTATGCGCAAAGTCATAATTCTGTAAATATTTGCCGATTATCGTTAATGGGATAGGAAGCTATTTGTCCACATCATTAGATAAGTATGGTTTCGTACATTTTCTACCAAAATAATCTGCTGAATTAACTGCAACATGCAACATCTACTTGAAACAATTTTCATTCCATGTGACCAGTTCCTACAGCCATTAGTGCACCATTTGATATTAAATCTGGGTAATGTTATAACTTAATGGTTGAAATTTGAAAACTTACTGCATCGCCATTACTGAATGCAGGAAAGGAACGAACCAATCCCACTAGTAAACAGAGTCCTGTCTAAAGCAAGTATTCCATTCCTTTTTACAGATATATCCAAAATTTCTTCATTCACTGATGTACCACCTCTTCTCTTATTATTTAATTCTATTTCTGTCTTCAAGACATTCTATGTGCCGTTTGTGCAATGTGGCATGATCTGCTTGTGAGCTCCATTAGACTTTCTACAATCCCCAAATTTGGATGTTTCCAGAAAATGCACCATTATAAAGAGGAACTATAGTTCACTCAATCTCTAGTTTTCATTTAACAAAATTATTGCACTAAAGTTTTTACCAGGTTTGTGCCCAACTGGATATTGAAGCTGGGAACTATTAATCCGTTTAAATGATGAGATCGATTTTTGTCTCCTATTGTGTGTAGTTGTTACCATCTTATGAAGATAAGTTTTGTATTATCAGAGTCTTAACACTAATATCAATGTATTAATTCTTAATCAAATGTAATGCTTTGTAATGATTGATATTTGTACTAATATTTACTGTATAATGTGTATTGTGTTTTGATTGTTCTAATGATTGTCAGCCTGGTCCTTTATATATATTTTTTATGATGATTTATCTTCATATATGATCATCACGATTTGGTTTAGTTTTTATTAGGACACGAATATGTTTTTTAGTTACTATCTATTTAGGATTGTTGTGTCTCTCTAGTTGAGGTATTAACCATGCCCCTTTGTTTGGGCTTTTTAAAGCACCAAATGGCTACAATGTATCACCACATCTTGCTAAAGTTTCCTAGAGTTATGAATTACGTGCACATATATAAATTGTTTATCAATGTGGTTATGTTACAATTGATGTTATTGGTGAGGCTTTGGTGGAAGTAGGAGCACTTGACCTTTATAACAGTCTATAGACTATTATTGCAGGCTGCATTGATAGATATCTGAGAACTTGTGTGGATTACTTAAAGATCATTGTAACTTTGTACCTCATTTCAGTGAAAAGTTACCAGACTTTGAAATAGGACTTTGGCATTTTGACCCCGTGGGATTTATCTTCAGTGTTCATGCTGTTGGATTGTTTGTTTATTATGCTCTGTCTTATTATATTGTGCTCATTTTGCATATTTTTATTACACCAATAATGAGTGTAATGTACTTACCACTTGTAATTTTACTTTGCTTTAAGTGGTATCAATAAATATTAATATATATATTATTCTTCTTCTTCTTATTATTATTATTATTGCCATTTATATAGTGCCAAGAGATGCCATAGCACTTTACAATATTATGAGAGGGGGATTTAACAAAAAATTACAAGAAAACTTACAGTAACGATAGGTTGAAGAGGACCCTGCTGAAACGAGCTTACAGTCTATAGGAGGTTGGGTATAAAACACATTAGGACAGGAAATCAAATAAGGTGGGAGTGAAGCTGAGTTGCAGGAGAGAGTAAAGTGCTGCCCTTTTGGAGAGAGCAAGAGACAAGTATGTGAGGTAGAGGTTACTCCTAAAGAGATGGGTTTTAAGGCACTTCTTAAACAATTGAAGACTAGCAGAGAGTCTGATGGCGGTAGGCAGGCTATTCCATAGGAAGGGAGCCACCTGCGAGAAGTCCTGCAAGTGTGAGTTGGCCATACAGGTGCGAGCAGCGGACAGGAGAAGGTCACGGGCAGAGCGGAGAGACCACTAAGGGGCATACCTATGGATCTGTGAAGAGATATAAGAGGGGCTAGAATTGTTCTGTGCTTTATAGGTATGGGTAAGCACTTTGAATTGACTCCTATAGGATACAGGAAGCCAATGTAAGGACTGACAGAGGGGTGAGGTGTGAGAGGACCGACTAGAGAGGAAAATCAGTCTGGCGGCAGCATTCATTACAGACTGTAGCAGGGCAATACAGCTTTTGGGAAGACTAATTAGGAGAGGGTTACAATAATCCATGCAGGAAATTACTAAAGCATGGATAAGCTCCTTGGCAGCATCTTGTGTAAGAAAGGGGCAGATGCGGGCTATGTTTTTAAGATAGCATCTACAGGATTTTGCAACATACTGGATGTGAGGCTTAAAGGTGAAGCCGGAGTCACAGCGCGCTTGCAAGGATGGACTTATGTGGATAACTCTAACTTGAAGGGGGAGTGAAAGAGTTGGATCGGTATTAGGAGGAGGAAAGACAAGCATCTCAGTTTAGAGAGATTGAGTTTCAGAAAGCGGGAGGACATCCAGTCAGAGATGGAAGAAAGGCAAGCAGTGACACGTTGCAGGATGGCAGGGGAGAGGTCTGGGGAGGTGAGATATATCTGGGTGTCATCAGCATACAGGTGGTAGTGGAATCCAAATGAGGTAACAAGTTTGCCAAGAGAGGCAGTATAAAGAGAAAAGAGAAGGGGACCAAGGACAGAGCCTTCGGGGACACCAACTGAGACACGACAAGGGGAGGAGGGATCATTAGAAAAGGAGACACTGAATGAGCATTGGAAGAGATAAGAGGAAAACCATGAGAGGACAGAGTCACAGAGACTGAGTAATTAAAGAGTTTGAAGAAGGAGAGCATGATCAACGGTGTCACAGGCAGCAGAGAGGTCAAGAAGAAGTAGTGGCCTTTGGATTTAGCTGCGATTAGGTCATTAGTAATCTTGATAAGAGCAGTCTCAGTAGATTGGAGAGGGCGGAAGCCAGATTGAAGAGGGTCAAGGAGAGAGTTGGAATTGAGGAAATGTGACATATGGGTAAAGACAAGTCTTTCCAGAAGCTTTGAGATAAAAGGGAGCAGGGATATGGGATGATAGTTAGAGGGGGAGGACGGGTCAAGAGATGTTTTTTTCAGGATAGGTATTACAGTGACATGTTTAAGGTCAGCAGGGGCAATGCCAGAATAGAGAGAGCAGTTGAAGATGTGTGTTAAGGAAGGCACAAGACAGGGGGAGAGAGATTTGTTTTGTTGACACGGGACAGGATCGAATGGGTAAGTGGTGGGGGGAGAGGAAAGGAGAAGCACAGCCACCTCTTGTTCAGAGGGCCAGGGAGAAAGTCTGAAGGGTAGGAAAGGCATGATCTACATGTGGTTGAGAAAGAGAATGGTAAGGTGGTGAGAATTCTTTCCTTAGCTGTTCAATCTCATCGGTAAAGTAACATGCAAAGCTATCGGCTGTAAGGTTAGCACTCCTGATGACGGCTGCCGGGCGAAACGCGCGTCAAGTGCATACACTGGAGCTTTCCTAGTGAGTGTCTTTTTCACTTACGATTTAAATCTAACCTTACTACTCCCCCCTCCTGGGGCTCCATTAGGACTACTATTTAGCTGGTTTGTGTACTTACTCTCATATTTGATCTCTCTAAGAACTAGATGTAGTTGGGAACGTTGGTATTTCTACAATTTGTACATATTTTTTTAAAATTTTGAATTTGAAACATGGAAGGAACATGTGCCGTTTGCAAAGTATATAGGAATTGGAAATCTATATTTAACAAGACTAAGGATCAACCGGTGCATGCACCCTCACTGTTAATCCCACTTATATATGCACAGATATCAGTCTGCAAGTTTAACTACTTTTGCCTATACTACTATTACCCTAAGGCAAATATCTAACTCGCTGACCTCGCTGGACATATTACTATAAGTTTTCTTATAGAGCTATGTGATATACAGTTGCAACAGTTATTCCTGCAGCGCATAGTGGTATATTTGATTCTTGACTATCAACTATCTTAACCAAGAAATATCTGTACCTACCTTTCCTCAATATGTACTACTAACCTTTGCCACCTTCTGTATCCCACCTACTCAGAGAGATACTTAGATTTTTTTAAAAATTTTCTTCTACCTTATATATAAATCTATCTTTCTATTAAATATTTAGACTACAGCTTTATATACCCTTCTATGGGACGTTTTAATGTTTATTAATAAAAGTTATATTTTAGAGTGCTCTCACAACACTAGATTTATTTTAGTTCGGGGGTTGCCACAGCAGGGCGAAGAAGAGAGTTAAAGGTGTCAAAGAGACGCCTGGGATTGTGGGAGCATGAACTAATGAGAGGAAAAGTATGACTGTTTGGCGAGGGCAAGGACTGTACTGTATAAAGCTGTATTTCTAACAATACAGTTTCTCTCTGCCCCGACAGCAATCAAAGGGTTTAAAACCTTTAAAGACTTACATGATTCCGTCTCCTCCTCCAACATCGTAGCGAAGGGGAACCTAATAAGCATGTGGGATGGCTGCCCTGCAAGCATTAGGCCTTCCCCAAAGGAAAGCATTGAATTTATGCTTTCCTATGGGGTTTTGAAATTAATGCATAAAAATGTTTCAGTGCCTCTCCTGGCTTACCCTTTCACTTTGGGAGCAGTTGTTTTTAGTCTTGTTTAGTGAGAAGCACCAATCCTCTGCAAAGACTACACGCAATTTGAAGGTTGGCATCTGTCCCAGAGTACCTTTTTAAGTTGCTTTTCACTTATTCATAATTGCAATATACGTAAATGCATACTAGCTCTTGATTACCAGCACAATTTTGGTTGGATAAGAGGATTTCTCCACTAATAAGGACTTATAGATGGATGCCCTGTTAGAGCACTCATAAGCTGGGATAATGAGTGAAATTAGTCATTTATTAATACATATGTTTTACAAAAAATGCAGACAAAGGCTAAATTACATTATTCTTTATTTTAAAAAATATAAAAACCTATAGCAGTTGTTTTTTTGGATCCCTGCATTAACAATATTGGGTATAACACCATTAGGACAGCATCAGTTGCTGCATTGATGAGCCTGCCCACTGAGAGAGTGAGACCCCAAGGTCCACAAAAAGCTTGAAAGGATCTCCCTGCATGCCCCCTACCCATTGTGATTGACACTGGGCCTTAGCACTGATCACATTGTAATTGGCATGGACAACATGCTGGAGCTGCAGCATAAGAGGGAGCTCTCCCTTTCATGCTGCAGTCACCTAGTATATGGCACTTACAAAGGCATTCTCTAATGTGTGAGCTGGAAAATCTCTTTGCTGATATCAGACGATAGGGTTAGGGGTAAGTTTAGGTTTAGGGTAAAGCTATATTGTAGAGTAAGGGTGTATGGATAGAGTTAGGGGAAGTGTATGGTGCGGTGTAGGTTTTGTATAGAGTGAGGGGGCAGAGGTTTATATAGCGTTAGCGTTAACTACCAAAAATGTATTTGGATCCGAAACATATAAGACACTTAACAAGCAGGACTGATATGTTAGTCTATATTGAGTTATTTTCCTTTAGTTCAAAAATTAAGAAAAAAACATGTAAATTTTAAGAAGAAACCATTAAATTATGTTGGAACAAAGACAGCACAAAATCACAGTCACTTTTCCATCTAATTTTTATATGTGTTTTTTTTTAACTGTTTCATTACTGTGCCCAAACTGAGATTCTTCAATGTGCAATTTCTTTTAATTTTTTTTGCTGACACAACAGATTTATGTTTTTTTCTGCCTCTTTTCAAGAAAGAAAAGTAGTGGAATTTTTCTGCCACTATAATGTTGGAGGTCTTTTGAAATGGAAATTCCTCAGAAAACTGTCAGAATTTACTACTCGAATGTCATGTAATAAGTACAATGAAAATAATGGTGGAATGTATAGACAAATATCCCCCAATGTCTGTTGGTTCCTAATAGCTCATAACTCTGCTAAGCGAAGTTAGCAACTCGCTTGCTATAGCAACATATTTATTAAATCTGGCTCTGGGATCAAGCATTATTACACTCTGGTCTCGCTTCTGTGTTTTCCCCAATTAAATTATGGTGAATGAAGTTAGGGAGAAGTTTCATACAAGCCACATAAGATCGATTACGACCAAAATCTTAACGTAGCAGATGGAGCAAAAATACACCAATAATGATTCCTTTCATGGGAACATAGACCTTTGAAGTATAGCGAGAATTTGTATCTCCCCCTTAAAGTATCAATGAGAGCAAAATATCTAAATATCAATTACACAGACAATGCAACTGTAACTGATACACTTAATATACGCGACACAACTTAATACAACAAGAACAGAGAGGATTAGTTTAACAATTTGCTTTTAATGCATCTAGTTGTAAAAGTACTCAGTATCAGATACTGAATTCTGTTTTATGTACGCACTTGGGACAGTCTCACTGTTTTTAGAAAGGCTTGATTGTTCTGCTTCGAAGTCTCATTTAGTGAAGTGTGGCCTAGCTAAAACGCTGTACATTGATCAGTATGCGTACACGCTGAGAATCTGTTTTGCTTTCACCCCATCTGTAACATCATTAGGAGAGATACTGAAGAGGAACGGCCTGAGCAATGAACCCTGCAACGCCGGCAACCTTTTTTTTTCCACCGAGGAAAGTGCATGTGCAGCCACTCTCTGCCTCTTATCTCGTAGGTAATTTGTCATCTGTATATTCCATATGTTTTGAATTAGCCCTGTATTTCGTTTTTTTGATTTCCCCTGGTCTGCTGAATGAAGTTAAAATTAGATTGCATAGCACTTGGGGGAAACAATATGAACGCAGTTGATGCAAACCATTCATGGCATTATAACATTCTTTTTTTTTTTATGCTACTGTGCTCTGGAAATAGTATTATTGAAATGTAGGAACAATTATTAATTTAGAGATCAATCAGGAAGGTATTAAAATGTAATGAACACAAGAATGATTAAAGGCATTTACCGGTAAATTGTTTTTAGAATCTGCTTCATATTAAACAGCTTTAAAACGATAAAACATTTTTTTTTAAAGTTCTCACATGTACATATAAATGTATATATGTGTACATGTGAGAACTTTATGCACCCCCTTGCCCCCATCCCAATACAAGAAAATTGGCTAGTTAACAAAATAATTGCTAGATAGAATGGAGTAGCCATGAGATCTTTAGTGAGTTCTAGGGCAGAGCAGAGAACAGTAGAGCGGAACAGAGAGTGCTAGTCAATTAAAGCTCACTGTTAGGGTCAGATACTATTAGCTCTTGCTAAACCTAATATCAGCACGAGAATTAAAAGGAAACTGCCACCTCCTATGATTTTTAATATTATTATTATTTTTAAGAATATTACGGCACTAGAAAAATTGCAGAGGGGCTATAAAATTAATAAAAGGAATGGAACATTTTAGCTATGAAGAAAGGTTAACAAAACTTAAACCCCTTTAGTTTAGAAAAATGTCGCCTCAGAAGGGATATGATAACGTTATACAAATATATCACGGGCCAATACAAATCATGTCTGGGAATCTATTCACAAACATGACTTTACATAGATACAATAGAACAGAGATAAGTGCTCTCTATCTGATAACAGCTGCAATTCACCAACAAGGAGTTCCCTCAACCTTGTGAAAAACAAATCAAAGTAGATAAAAATAATTAGGTGAACAGCGCTGAATATATAGATTACCTACGTTAAAAGGAGAGATCGAAATCCGAAGATGTGTATCTTAATATAAAGGACACAATAATAGTGCAATGTATAATAAAAGTAGTGCAGATATTTTTATAGTGCCAAATGAAGACTCACATTTTATAGAGCTATATAAGCTTTATTTCTTGAGCCTAGATGGAATAATCCCTGTCTATGGATTTCTTTGTGGATATCAGCAGGGACCGGACCTGCAAGCATTCACTTTTGATAAAGCTTCGGCGAAATGCGTCAAATGAGGATGGGTGAGGATTATACTATAGGACTGTTTTTTTACCTAGCTCTTATGTATCACTTCATTTTTAACTCTGTGTTTATTTACAATAAAGTACATTTTTATTCAATATATATACCCATTCATTTTTATACTCACCTCACCTCCAGTTTTCTTTGATGCTATTCCGGGTCCACGTGTATCCCTAGGTGGGGATTGTTCCACCTAAAATTCTACACACCAGAGCAGGTCATTGCTCTAGTTGATGTAAGTAGGTTTATCCTTTTTCCATTTATTGTTTACCTACATACTATACCATTGGGTTTATTTTCTTCTCTTTATATATGATGACCTATGTCCACTTGAGAGCCAAGCAGTGCTGATATCCATAGAAATCCATAGACGGGGATTATTCCGTCCAGGCTCAGGAAATAAAGCTTATATAACTCTACAAAGTGTGAGTCTTCATTTGGCACCGTAGAAATAAAATTGTTATTATATATTGCACTATTATTGTGTCATTTTTATTTTAAGATAAACATCTTCGGATTTCGTGCATAATCTATATATTGAGTGCTGTTCACCTTATTGTTTTTAAGGACTTTACATAGGACACGAGATTGCATGTTTAGATTGTAATAAAGGAGAGTGAGTCTAAGGCAAAGGAGAGTTTTTATTTTACCGTAAGAACAATAAGAATGTGGAATTCTCTGCCTGAAGAAGTGGTTTTATTAGAGTCTGTACAGATGTTTAAACAGCAACAAGATGCATACTTGCAAAAACATAATATTCAAGGATATCATTCTTAATTTCTTGATTCAAGGATAAATCTGACTGCCATTCTGGGATCAAGAAAGAATTATTTACATAGTTTGTTGCAAAATTGGAAGTACTTCAAAGTGTTTTTTTTTGCCTTTTTTTGGATCAACCGATGTGAAGGCTGAACTTGATGGACACATTTCTCTTTTCAGACTATGTAATTATGTAACTATGTTTATTTAAATCTTATACTTAAATATTCTGGAATTGATTTCCTCCATTTTAGCTCCCTTTCAATCATTGTTATAAAAATCAACCTTTGCCCTCTCTCTCTCTTCTCTTATTTTGTCCACCCTAACCCCCCCCCACACACACACTTTCTGGTATCCTTTTTCTTCTTTTGTCTTTTATTTTCTGAGAAGTGATGGTCCCACTTCGATACATCAGTGGTAAGCCTGTGGACTTTTAGTTTTATTCAGTTTTACTTTGTCTAGTCAATTTAAATCCCCCTCCTCTTGCTTTAGTCTTACCAATCAAACAGTTTTCTAGAGAACATACTTTAGAGTCTTTCACGGAGCAGCGCTAACAGTAATAGGGATGTCTATTACTTTCCGGGGTGTAATCAAACTCTTTGCATGGTCCACTGATCAAGAGAATATTGTCAGTTTCTGCACAGATATTACAGATGTCTATAACTCAGTGTCTTAAAATGAACTGAATGCATTGGTTCTTATGCCATTGTGATAGCTTAGTGGACTGGATATGGCACTTGCTGCAGTATCCTTGAGTCACAAGGTTGGTATCAATTTCCTAAATTGATAAAAGTAATGGCATTAAGTTGAGTAACAATGACATCTAGATTTCAGGATGTATTAAAAAAAACTAGGAAAAAACTAAAAACATCTTCTCAGGTTAAATAGCATGATGTTCGCATATTTTTTATTATTATTAATTGATTATATATATTATTATTTTAAGTCCTTGAAACATGGATCTTGTCATTCTGTTAATTTGTTCTTTCTTTTGTTATGCATTATTCTTCTGTTTAAGTCCATACTCTGAAAATTATATTTTTTTGACAGGTTCTGTACTAATTTTGCCAGGCCAATTATTGCAAGCCTGTTAGGGTTCGTACCTGTTTTGAAGATGTCTGTTAAGTCTCTATGTGGTTTTGGTCATATTGAATTGCTGGAATTAATCTGTATGCGTGTATTGTAATGTTTGCACATACTTACAATGCATAGGACCTATAGACTGTAGGCTCGTTTGAGCAGGGTCCCTCTTTAACCTATCGTTCCTGTAAGTTTTCTAGTAATTGTCCTATTTATAGTTAAATCCCCCTCTCATAATGTTGTAAAGCGTTACGGAATCTGTTGGCGCTATATAAATGGCAATAATAATAATAATAATGATGATATTGACTTTTTTTATCTAACAATTGAGTCTACAGACATTCTTCATACCGTTTTATACCCCACCTCCTATAGATTGTAAGCTCGTTTGAGCAGGGTCCTCTTCAACCTATCGTTCCTGTAAGTTTTCTTGTAATTGTCCTATTTATAGTTAAATCCTCCCTCTCATAATATTGTAAAGCGCTGTGAAATCTGTTGGCGCTATATAAGTGACAGTAATAATAATAAAAGGATATAAAATCACAAAGCATGTGCTCATGCATAATCTTCTGTTATGTCTACTGCGACATTACATTTTTGGCATTATCTGACTCTTTACCATGAGATTTTTCCTTTCAACAACACATAAGGCAATTTAAAGGGGCACTCTAGGCACTTTAACAACTTCATCATGTTGGCCGTAGAAAATCATGGAATTCAATGATTCGCTATGGAGGAACAGTAAACACATCACAGCGAATGCCGCGCACGTGCTTACATTCCGTAATGCTCTTCTATGCGAAGCATTGGATACAACCGTTATCCTGGAGGATTTGGGGTTTTGTTTTTTTTGCACAGATGAGAGGAGGGAAAATGATAAAGGACACCAGGACTGTAGTGTTAGTAGTACAGATATGTATTCCTTATGCTACAGTGATCCTTTAAATAAAATACTTTGTAGCTATTAAAAAGATGTATACAGTATCATTTTATACCATCTCAGTGAGAAAGGTCAACATGGGTAGGATGACTATAAATCTATAGTGGTGGTACAAACCCGGGGCAATGTGGCAAATATATCCTCATGTTGTCTGCCCAGACATACAGCCTTACTGGAAAAGGACTGGGAGCCTTCTATAATAACAATTTCCTGAATTGGGCAAACCTAAAGAGCGATCCTAAAAAAGAAAATATACTCATTGCAAAAATAATTTTATTGCTTCGTAGAATCTTAGCATTAATATGAAATGTTAACTGAAAATCTCCAATATCTAGGGTATTCACCAAGATTACAGATAATAATAACTAGAGTTCACAACTTTCATAGGTGGTTTAGAAAGGTTTGAGCCCCATATCAGGATACTCAGGCAGGATATTCTCCTTCCAGACTTAAATTTCTCAAAGGATATAATACTACCTTGTTCTTAAACTCACCCCGACATTCCCATTATCCCTTTAATACATTTCTGATTTTCTTTCTTTACTTTCTCTCTCTTTCATGTTTTGTTTTTGTGTAACGGTTTTGAGGTATAAATAACTATTCTTGTTTCTAAAAATTGACATATGTGCTTTGCAGTTTGCTGGTACATAAACAGTGTTGTATGTTGATACCATATGAATAAAGAATTACAGCAAAACCATATATCAGTTGTAATAAAATAAAACTAAAGGAATTACCATTTTTATGTTGTTAGAAATCGATAATTAAAATAATCAATTATCTCTTGAAAAGTGCAAAATGATTGCAGGTTTGCAGTAGTAAGATCCGATGGGGGTTTTTGTTTTTGTAAATTTATTTTTATTGAAATAATTTTCGATTTTTTTTCAAAATGAACAATAGACAGTATACGACTCGCAGGTCTCTCACTTCTGCAAGAATGGACACGCAGGTCCCACTGTATGCATAAATAACTAGGAAAATGTTAAGTAGGTTTAATTGCCTTGTACAGTATGTACTTGTCACCGAGCATACAATATGTGTTGATTGTAGTATGTACATCCGTCACCTTCCTTACCAGGCAAATGAAGAAAACTCACAGAACAATGGAGGATTAAAAAGGAAAATAAAAAGAAATGGTGAGTCCTAGGTCACTCAGTGCTCAATAGAACATCCGTCTAGTGTCTGACGTGGATTTAATCAGTTATTAAACTTTTTGGAATCACATTTTTCAGAGCTTTATGAAATAATGACGCAAAATATATGAATTAATAAAAGAAGAATTAATTATTAATTTTGTACAAGAGTGAGGTCCTTATTGTAAATTCTCAGTAATATTCAGAGCCAGAAATACAATTTAGGGCTATATAAATAGTATTAAATATTAATACTCAGAGTTAGTAATGGGGTCATAATTGAAGGTAGTTTATTCTATAGGTATACTATAGGGTAGTCCTAAATGTATTCATATGCAATAGAACTATTGACAGAACAGAGCTGCAGTTGCCTAGCAACAAAGAGCTTAACTTGGCTGATTCCAATACTAGTCTTTGTATTAAACCAGTTTATTATGACTTAACCTATGAAGAATTGGCAGCTGTATATAAATGTCATAATTTCCAACTAATATCTTTTGCTTCTGAAGAATAAGGATGGGCATCAGAGTGTACACTGCAATTTGAAATGCAACACTTATTTATCTCCAATACATAATCTGTATTAAATGAATAAAACAATCAAGTTAATTTCATTTTGTATTGCTATACTCATAATTAGCAGCTTTTTAGGGATGTTAACAACGTGTATTTTGTAGCACTATATCACTCAGTTCCTAAATTAATATTATAAACACAGGGTACTACTTTCCAGTCTCAATTTGTAAGTATAATTTCATCTGCTATTAATTGAAAGTCATTGGTTTTTGTTATGTGTTTTTTTTTACTTCACTCACTGCTTTCGTTATTATGCAAACACATTGAACTATACAACAAAATGGGGATCTTTAAAAACTCAGCTTCTGTTGCTAATTACATTGCGTTCTGAATACAAAAAGAATGCAAAAGGCCAACCCAATCAATATGTCATTGTAATTTAAATATATACTTCAGAAGTTCTGTCTCGGAGCATAGCTTTCATGTTAACAAAACAAAACGTGCATGTTTTGTTCATATGTATTCTCTAATAACCATTTGAAGGACCTCTCAGATGACTAAGATCAAGGTTTCCAACTGTTGGTAGACTACAGTTCCAATGCGTTATTGATTTCTACTTTTATGGTTTATTTGCTCAATTTATATTATGATTATTTATGACAAAATATCAAATTAATATAGAATATTTCTTGCTGACATATTGCAGTGAGGAAGGATCTTCACAATTTAATTGGTGAGTATAGTGTATTCTCAGTTTTTATTGCACAAAAAAACAACTAAACTTTAATAAGAAAATTTCAACCCAATAAAATGAATCGACCAAGGGAATTTACTTCTGTACTTAAACATGTGCAATTTTTTTATGTTTCTCAATAAAAATTCTCCATAACCCCTTAAATGAGAAATTGTCCCAACCCCCTCCCTCTCCCCTCAAATCTAAAGCATGAATTGTGGAAAAGTCCAAAGTGAGTTTACATTTAAGGCCACAACAAGCAAATTGAAGGCATTGCTAACTTGAATAATCTTTGAAATTAGGCTGTTGTGGCCAAAAATTAGAAATTCAGTTTGAATTTGCAGGTCCTCCACTTGTTTAATGTATGACTTCTAAGTACTAATGGTGCCCCAGGAAGCAACATTGCTCCAAACAGCATCTCTAACAGCATCTCTAACAGCATCTCTAAACACTTCTTGAAAAAGAGGTCTAATTCATAAACTCCCCCCAATGTGCAGTGTGTTTAAAAGGACACCCTAAGCATCAAAATAAGAGCCAAGTTAAGCAGTTTTGGTGTATATATCATTCAGTCTCATTGCTCAAATCTTAACAAAGTTTATTAACTTTGTTAATAAAGCCCTAGACACAACCCTGTGACTCACACAGCATGCGTGAAAATAAAATGTAGTTTTCAATCAGATCTTACAGCACAGTGTGTTTTCTTTAGAAGATCTTATCTTCTGCTCAACTTAGTGCAATCCTTCTGGGAGTTCTCAGAAGAATAACTATACATAATATTAAACGTTGCAAAGTCCTTTTCCTCAAACCAATGTTTGAGCATATGGCAACAATCAAAATATTGCACAAGGTCCCAAAAAGGCACTACTACTAATATACTGCATATTAGTAGGTACATGTCAATAAGTATATTAATATTAAATTACCTATTTTGAGGGCAGGACTGGTATTCATGTCAGCAGCTTGCACTATTTAAGTAATCACCAAAATGTGGACACAATTAATATGAACATATTGATACCATGGGATGTAGAAACCTAGATGCTATTGACCCTGTTTGTAGTCCCAGCGAAACTGTGATTCTGTATAATAAAACCATAATGCTAAGAGGCTGTTAGCGTAAGTAGCCATGACTATTAGCCTCTTAATTAATTAGTTAATTAAGCAACAATTGTGCATAAAATCCAAAGTGTTAGTCACTTTAATCCCAGGAAGTGTTTATTACTATGCCTTATTGAATTAACGTAAATTATAATTAGGCAATAATTTCCCTTAAAGTGAGGATGATAATTGATTTTCTTGTTTACAATCAATAATTGACTAAGGTATTTATCAAGCGGATGACAATACTCTTTGTTACAGTGCTATTAAACACATCACCCACATCCAATCAGTCTCAACACATTCTCATTTAATTAGTTTTAAAGTAAAACACAGTGAATTCTGAAGCTGTATATGTATAATCTAAAAGTCTTCACTGTATTGCTTCATGGCATCCATTAAATAAATGATGTTCGCAACCATTATAACTGGCTTGAATTTATGTGAAGCTGTGTTCAATAGCAGCAACACTGATGACAAATTATTAGATAATGATAGCATTAATAAGGAACTAGGTAGATTCAAACTTTTGTTAAACATGCTTTAGAATAAATAGAATGATAAGCATACAGTCATATACTAATAATAATTGATTATTCTGATGGACTGGAGAGAAAATTTCATGTTTAAGTTCGGTTAACAAGAACTAGCCTTTGTGCTAGAGACAATTTTAACTTGTGTGTCCTAAAGAACTCTCTGCCTTTGAGTATTTTAAATCTGTTCCTACTATACTACAAGGAGGGTGCGTGGCCAAATTCAGAAATTGTCAGGATTTGACAGATGTGCATGCCAAAAGTCAAGACCTCACCGCAAAAGGAAAGTACAAAGAGAAAGGGAAAAGAAGAGCTATTACTGGTACTGAGAATGGCGAGGTTTAACTGCAACACCTCCAGAGAGTTAACAAACAGAATACCTAAAAACAAGGATAAGCAAATATCAATACTTAGCTGGTGTCAGAGACCCATATGGAAACACAAATAAAGGACAGTTCAAAGACTGGTGTTGGCTGTGTGAGCTAAACCAATAGAAAAAAGCAGCACACAGGATAGAAAAAACCCTCTCAAAATAGGATGACCGATACATTCGGAAAGAGAGGTGAAACCATATAAGCGTTTTGTGAACTGTATAGTACTGGGTTGAAAAAAGATTAACCAGTCAACTCACATTTGCAAATAAACATGATCCAACCACGACTCCTACCACGATTACAAAAGCAGCCTCCACTGCCCTTTAAAATACAGATGCATGTTCTTTGTCATTCAACTGTACTTACTGTATTGCTTGCCTACATACAACTATTATATTTACATTCTTATTACTTTTTGTGAATCTGTGCTCTTAAAAATGCTTTCAGATCCCTGTGTGAGAAGCTGGTATTGTCCTCAGGTACTAATATCCGAGAAGGTGCCCAAAGTATTGCAATAATGTTATCTTGTTTAATTTTTAATTGTTTAACTTACAAAGTCTGGATGAACATATAAGTGAAAAATCAAGATTTTGGCATAATGTTACATTTTGCCATAATTACCTGTTAGTTAATGATCCCATTTAAAAGAAATGTTTCATTTTAAAGGGTTTATTTAGATTTTTTTTTAATGCAAGTGGGTAGTATATATCCTAATAATGCAGAACAGTTTCACTATTTATCCTTTACCATTTCTTTTATAAAGAAATATGTTTCCGAACATTGCCCCAAATTTCTCTCCCTCCAACTAGAGTGTTAATGAACAACATTTTAATTAGTGTAAAAGTTTAAATAACGAAGCCTAGAAGAATTCACTAATTAATGTTGTAATGAAAGCAGGCAAGTCTAATTGATATTTTCCATATTTAAAAAAAATGAGTTGTACTTGCAAATGTTGTACAGCACATACAATAAGATTCTCATTAGCAAAAAACAAACAAACAAAGGCCCTTGTGTATTAATCAAAGATCCAGCAAACTGGCATGTGGGTTTTGTTCACTTATTTGTGTTTATAAATTACATGGTTGGTGGTGGTAAAGTAGAAACAAGTATATAAAGTTATTTCCTGTCCTACTGTGATTTACACCCCACCTCCTATAGATTGCAAGCCTGTTTGAGCAGGGTCCTCTTCAACCTATTGTTCCTGTAAGTTTTCTTGTAATTGTCCTATTTATAGTTAAATCCCCCCTCTTATAATACTGTAAAGAGTTGCGGAATCTGTTGGCGCTATATAAATGGCAATAATAATAAAAATAATTCTACTTCACAGAACATGTTTATCACTTTGGCATATTTTCTGCTTACAGCTTTTTATTTCAGTCTGTCGTGAAAACACAATGTTTAGTCATTACTGTATTTTCCCATTGAGGAGAAAGCCATTAATGGAACTTCGTCATCCATAACACACCAGAGTCCCAGTTTAATGTGCTAACAAATGTGAATTGCATTTATCCTATAAAAAGGAACTATCCCTATTCTGGAAATTTCACCATAAAATAAACCACTAAAATCATGTGTTACATTGTATGTATGTATATATATATATATATATATAAAAGGATTAGCAAATTACAATACAAGCAATTTCAGTCCAGACACAACAACGGCACACAGAGCAAATGATGAGGTGAAACAGAAATATTGTTACATTTTTACTATACTCTGTAGGCATTCATTTGTATGTGTTCAATATTTCATTTCTCCTCTTTCTTTGTAATGTATGTCCAATATTTGCTTGATCTGAACTGAATTATAATGTTGTTTCAAATCTTTAAAATACATTTAAAAGAAAATGAAGCATTTCATTAAAAAAGGTTAACACTTTACCATAATCTTTCAATTACTTTCCTACAATACAATAATTAGAAATCAAGCGTGTCTTACCACAGTGTTTCTCACCTTATCTTGCTATGCCTGATGCCTAGCTACCTTATACCTAGCTAATAGTCTTTCACCAATTTCTAGATATGAAAATATCCAGAGGTGGGAAAAGAAACACAAACAGGAATGTGGCAAGAAGCACAAGGGGTGGTAAGCAATTAGAAAAAAAGGAAATGCATAGGTAGGAATAATAACGTGGACACAATACTCAAAATGTGGGTCAGACACAAAAATGGGGTAAGATACACAAAAGGGGAAAAAGAGGCAAACTGGCCTACAAGCAAAAATGCATATTTAGTTGGGGGAAAATACATCTTTGCCTCTTCAGCCAGAAATTGTTGCACCAACCATGAGTAATACTAAATAAAGGCTATGTCTTTTGTAAAGGTCACATAACATAATGAAATTAAACAGATCAGATACATACAGTGACTACTTTATTAGTTACACATGTAAACCTATTTATTTAAGCACGTAACCAGCTAGCTGTCTATGTCATCCAAGATTTGACTATGGAATGATTGTTGGTACCAGACGCGGTGGTTTTCATGTCTCTAAAACTGCAGTGCTCCTGGAAGTTTCTTTAACCCCTTAAGGACCAAACTTCTGGAATAAAAGGGAATCATGACATGTCACACATGTCATGTGTCCTTAAGGGGTTAAAAGCATTCTATTATTGAACGTGAGGAAAAAACTCTCAAAACCATACAGTTAGGTGCAGTTTTGGGAATGAAAATGCATTGGTTACAAGAGTAGTTGGGGAGAATGGGAAGATTGAGTCACATAAACAAAAAATAATATGTCCCCCTATTTTTTAACTGCAAAAAATTAGAACAGCCACTTGAATATCTTACCCCTTTTGTCTCTTGCACCCTTCCTTGTGTCTTTTGATCCCTCCTTACACATCTGTCAGCTCTTGTTTCCCTATCCCCATTAGGTGTCTTGCACACACACCATTTCCCACAGTACCCGATGTGGCGCTGACCCCCTGTTTTAGCAAGGCCCTTTATTAGCCTCTGTTTATTTACCTGTGCATTACATGTACTCTTCTTTCCCTTTCCCTATATTCCTCTTTTCCCCATGACATTTTGCTCTACTTAATTCCCTCCTTCCCTCATTTGCTTCCCTTGTCTTTCCCCCTTATTCGTCTATTTTCTTTCCCCTCTTAGCTTTGTTTCTCTCTTCTCATACCCTCCTTCCCTCGCGTATTACCCTCTCCTCTCCTTCCCATGCGTGTGTCCTTATTCTAATAACCCACAAGCACACACTTTATTGAATAGCCCTCAAGCACACACGTTATTGCTTTTAAGGTTTCGTAATTGGATATCTGTCAGCAGCAGGCGGTCAAGCAGGCATATGATGCTGATGTCATCTCCGGGCACTATATATTTAAATAAATACTGTAATTGCCAGACATTGCTATTAAAAAGCGCACAACATCTCAAACCTTTAAGTGAATAAGCTACACCAGTAGAAGGCCACATTGAATTTCACTTCTATCAGCTACGAAAAGAAAACAAAAGCTACAATGGGCAAAGAAACATCAAGAAATGGACAGAAGAAGATGGAATAATATCCTCGTCAGTTTCCTCAACTACATGCAGATGGTATGGCCAGAAGTTGGCAGAAACAACATGAATCCATGGAAACATTCTGCCTTTTGTGAATGGTCAAGGCTGGTGGTGGTATTGGGGATATTTTCATGGTACACATTAGGCCACTTCATATCAATTATTGTTGAAAAGCCCCAATAACCCTATGTGTAATGCTAAGATCACAGTCTACTCAATTGCTAATGTATACTTCCAGCAGGAAAATATAACAATACACAAAGCAGACATAATGCCAAGCTTATAACCACATTATTGCAGCATGAATATCTAGCTAATAAATCTGCATTAACCAAATGGCGTCATTATGCCAACCGGGTCCAAAACGAAGAAATGTTTCCAAGCATATTAAATTGAGAGAGTGAAACATTTAAGCTGTTCTGGATGCAAAGGTGGTCCTACCCAATGTTAGAAGATGTGCCTAAAGAAGACGTAACTGAATGAAAAAAAATTTAATGAAAAAGAAAAAAAATGAATAAAAGAAAAAACTAGCATGTAAGCTCATTGAGCATGGCCCTCAACCCCTTTGTTCCTGTGTGTCCAACTTGTCTGGTTACAATTACGTGTTTGTTAGTCCACCCATTGTACAGTGCTATGGAATTTGTTGGCGCTATATAATAATAATAATAATAATAAAATGAAGCATACAGACTAAATGTATGTATATATTAGAAGGAAACTAAATAGATAACAGTAATAGTAAATATTATGTGCAGCCACCAATTTACTCACTTTTTCTATTATCAGCAGATGGTTGCTCCATAAAACTTTCAGTTAGTTCTGATGGAAATTGAATACATGTGTTCTCTTCAAGCATCTTCTCACCTACTTCGTGATCAGGCAGTTTCCTAATACACAAACCTAATATAAAAACTATCCATTCAAGGCAAGGGGCAATAAATATTAATCAGCCTTATCACAATAGCAGAGATCTTTTAGTACCCTTATGGATCTCATTATGTATCTAACCTGCTAAAATAATATTTGTAGTTTCCGAATAGAACTGAGATACAAATTATCCACTTGTGAATCTCATTCGAGAAAAGCAAAAATAATTATCAGCTTCCTAACTGATCTAGGAGACAGTGTGTCTTCAGGATTCTTAGCTGAGAAAATTGTTCTCACAGTTTGTTATTGTACCTAGGATGTTAAAAAAAAGGAGCAGATGAATTATCCTAATGTATTTTTGTAATATTGTGCTACAAACATATCTTTTCAATATTTGGTCATACTCAATGACCCAATCAAAGATAATATGCGATAAAGGGAAAAATCAGAGAATGAGTATTGCTTGATATATGGCTTTCAATCATATTATTTCATTTGAAATATTAATACTCCGAGTGAAAGTAATCGGAATAGCTTAAAGTATTTGGAAAATAATGAATCCTGTAAATGGAATGAAAAGAGGTTCTTCTGCCATCACCTCGTAAGAGACCTAAGGACACCAACTGAATTCCTAATTATTTGCTGTCAGACACAACATAAAATAGTACAAATAAGATTCAAAATTACAGCGTGTTCTTGAAAATCAATAAAAGCTATTAACAAATAATGCTGTTGGTATTATGGCGCAGTGGGCTGTCTTTTAAACATTATTAGAATTCGCAGCTGATCATAGGTGACTCGAGTGAGCCTTAAACATGACTACTGTTAAGTTTAAATATGATCATGGCCATTTTTTTTGCTTCAAACTAAAACAATAAGAATGCATTATAAAATGTTCATACAACAGTATACTCTTTCTCTTTCATATGTTTTTGTGTCTTGGCATATCAATTGAATTGTTTAATAATTTTGATATATTTCTAAGCAAAATTGTAAATTGTAGAACCCTACTTTAGAAAATATTCAAACTGAAACCAGCTGATTAAAGCCTGCATTCAACAAAGTCTGGGGCTCTAACTCTAGTCCAGCTCATGCTGAATGATTACTCCATTGTTCATTCTTTTATGGTTAGGGCTTAGAACAAAGTGTAGTTATAAGAGATTATGGACCCTGTTTTGCAATTACAGACTCACACTTCTCTTCACTTTCTTTACTAAAGAAACTCTTCTCTGGATTGCCACTTAGAATGTAGCATGAAGATTGGAAGAAGGTAATGAAACTATCTAAGGTCCAAATCTGGTTCCAGAGGAAACCCCCTCCCAATCAGTCCATGTGCTTTTTAAAAGAGTAGACACGCCGCAGTTTGACCTTTGGTGTTGACATAAAATAAAGTATTACTTTACTAAGAGGGTGGTGGATACATGGAATAGCCTTCCAGCTGAAGTAGTAGAGGTTAACACAGTAAAGGAGTTTAAGCATGCGTGGGATAAGCATAATTCTATGCTAACTATAAGATAAGGCCAGGGACTAATGAAAGTATTTAGAAAATTGGGCAGACTTAATGGGCCGAATGGTTCTCATCTGCCTTCACATTCTATGTTTCTATGTTTCTATGTTTCTATGAAAATGAATGTAGGCTGAGTTACATGTTATACAAACTATAAGATAAACTAGGTGTTCCTTCCGACAGCACTTTCTAACAAAATACAAAATGAGCATTCTCTCTGTAGCTGCAAATCTCCATGTGATAGTAATTAATTATCTCATTCTTATTAAAAGTGAGATTTGTGCACATTAGTATTTGTATCGCATTTGTATCCTATATGAAGTGAATTTTTAGCCACTTTAGTCCCAGCAAGGAGTATGTGAAGTGTTTTACTCTATATGGCTAAACTTGAAGTAAAAACATATATTTAACCAGTCTTAAAAGAAAAAAGTACAATAATCAATCAGGACAGAAAGAAAGATTAGAGAGGTATTTAACTACCATAAACATTACATGCCAATGTAGTGGTTATCTTGCAAATAGGCTGAGTCCCAGTTCTTCAATAACATTAGTAATTCTAGCCAATATTGAGGTGTCCTGAGCACATCAGCTGATGCTTGAAAATGGATATACCCAAAACCTGCACCCTAACAGCACCATTACCATTACATTGGCATATTGTGGTAATTGTGTTTAGACTACTAAGGATTTACAGCAATTTTGCATCATTGAAAAAGCCCTTGAAGTGGTGGAACAGAGTTGCCGGGTGCCAGTACTCTTACAAAACTTACATGTGCTTAGAGACTGGGAATTGAAGGAACACAACCCAGAATCTGCAGGCAGGTCGAACATAAGGCATTGGTAACTCTCTAATGGGAGTGATATTCAAAAAAATATGAAGCTAATGTGAGAGGCCACCCTAACTTTTAATTCTTTGATTTACATAAATTTACTTGATTTAACAGTATAACCCTATGAGATTCTCCCTTGATTTTTCCCTCCTTACTCTCACTTTACACGTATGGGAGAGAACAGGGATTTGATAAACCAAACTAGTAGATTATTTTTATACTTATTTGCCTGTTAGAGGAACTCCATAGACATCCAAAGAGGGACATATTATTTCACAGGTAGCAGGGTCCTTCTATTTATTTATTTTTTTTAAACCTAATCAACTAGTGTTTGTGCCACAATACGTCTACTCTAAGTCAACCTATGCCATTCACTATTTATGCTCCGTGAACAGTTCTGTTTTCTTCAAATCTTAAAAAACCATGGCAACTTTTACCTTTCTTTAAATCTTAACGCCTTTATCTCTGTAAAGACTAGAAATGCCTCCGTCTGCACCCTGGAAATTCTACCGCCATCTTGTATTTCTGTGAAATCCTTAGTGATCTTTCTTTTCACACTCTAGAAACTCTGTTTCCATATGTGACTTTCCTGAAAAGCCTACTAAAACACTCTTTCTCTAGAATGCTTGTAGATGTTTCATTGTATTCTTGGGAAAGTTTACTATCATATCCCCTTTATGAAAAACAGTAGTTATGTTCTTTCTATGTTTTATATTTATCTATTTAGTCATTTTATGTTTGAAAAACCATGTACGGAGTCATTCGTATTGAAGAAGACCTTCTTGAATAAGAATGAATCCGTACATGGTTTTAAAGCTTTTGAAGATGTTCTATTGCTTCCTCAACTTCTAGAAGCTTTATAGTCTTTCATTATCCTCGTGGGAGCTTTCTGCTTCATTATTTTCTTCTGGGATTCTTCCTGCTTGATAATGTTCTTCTGCTTCGTTCCCTTTTCTGAGAAACTGTGGGTATCCTTTTTGTATTTAAGTCATGTTAGAGTTAGTGAGTTGTAGGGAAAATGCCTCCATTCCTCTCTTGGCAAATTACATTTACAAAATACAAATACAATTCCAAATACAAATTGATAAAATGTGAAAAAGTATAAACTAGACAATTACAAGTGTAATTGGGAAAAGGGAGTGAGAATAACAACAGATATGTTTCAGAATTACAATGCCCCATTATTCCCGGGAAATGTGTCGCTACTTCTATTCGTGGATGCATACAAATAAAAAATAAGCTTCATTGGAAGATCCTGCAGTAAGGCTCACGTTGACAGCATCTTCTACAAAAGATTTTTATGAATTTGCATAGCATTGTCATAAGCACTTACAACACATCATGCAAGAAAATGCAGACGAGGACAGCTGCCATGAATGATGACTGACAAGTAAAGGAGGGCTCTGACATGGGAAGGTAACATCTGCCTTTCTCTACTTTTTTCATAATGATTACCCTGTCTTGTGTTTTGCTATTCTTTAGTAACACAGCAGATAATTGCTTTTTTGTTTTTGAATTGTTGTATATTAGAACTGTGAGGTCATTTGGTCCTCTTTAAACCAACAAAGAACTAACATTTCTCTGTTTATGAGATCACTAGGTGCTTAAATATTTTTTTTATACAAAGAATTCTATCTTAAGTTTGCAGTTCATAGCATGGAAGGTAATGTTTTATATGAGTTATTAAAGGAACACTCTAATAGAAAGCCAGTAGTAGAATGACAGCCCATAAGAGAGGTGGAAAATGCAAAACGTGAACACTACTGTTTCTCAAAAAATTGCATTATTTCTATTTGCAAGTCTGCAAGGGTAACATCTAAGCCCTATAATCAAGACAATTATGACAGACACGTATACGTCTCAGTTTTGGTTATGCTGGCTGGCTCACTTCAATGTATGCAAACTGTATGGGTGCTGGTATGGCCAGAAATAAATTATATTGGACCAATGGCATAATAAGCGTGGGGAGGGGGGAAGAGAGGGCTGGTCTTCCCTGGGTGACAAGTGGTAGATAGTTCTCTGTGCACTCCTCATTTCACCATAGTGGCAATCTACTGCACATCACCCCCACCAGCAATGAGTCTTTGTGTAGGTATATCAATGTCAGTGTATATGTCCATGTGTGTGTATATGAATGTGTGTGTGTGTGAATGAGAATGTCTATGTATATAAATTGTAGGTGTATATAAATGTGAGTAGGTAATTTTACTAATACAAAAATGGGTTTTTGGGTGTGCTTAATGAGACACTACAAAAGAAAAGCTACAGTTCATGGGGGCAAATTACATTTTTGCCTCAGGTACCATGTAACCGAGGTACGTCTCTGTTTTGAACTCTAATGGATAATAAATAAGTTGGGCTATCTTAACATATTAGTTGGCAACCATTGCAAATTGCTGCTGTTCAGTGGGTGGTACAAGATTGAATGAGAGGCCTTGTCCACTTACTGTATCTGAACACTGCAGATATCACTGCTGAAAGAGATCATATGTTAGCATTTTCCAAAACATTAGGCATACAGAAATAACAAGTATCGTCCCATCCCTATCTCTGAAAATAACACTGCCAATGGAGTAAATATTTCAGATTTCCTCCAAACATGTTTCCTAATAAACATATGTTTATTTTTCTATTGTAGTATCTTCAATATTTATTAAAAAGGTAGTTAGTGACCCTTTAAACTTTACATTGTTGTGTGGATTATGGATTATTTTCAGTAGTAGAGAATGAAGGCAGACTGTGTGTTTATTTGGCGGGGTAGGTAGTAGATCATAACTTATAACTGCATATTAGTTTATACAGGTATGGTAAACTGAATGGCTACATCTCCATCACCTCATTCTGAACACATCAAGATTAATATTAGATGGGCTGACATGCTATAGTGCAGTCCTTGTGTTGGAGAAAGCAGTTTTCAATCAATGCATCTCTGTTTAGGAAGAGAATGGGTTTACTCAAGGACAGGGCTGTGCACATTAAAAGGCTAAAAGTAGGCCAAAAAGAATGGATGTTAAGGAATAATTAAAGCATACCTGTCACTTGGGAGTTCTAAATAAAGAAATATAAAGATTTGTATTTATTCTGAGCATGGGATATGATTGTACTGTTAATTCAATGCTGGTGAAGTGGTATTCCCTGGCATTGTATCAGAATACGCCTGGGCACAGTCCTATTGAGCAGGGATCTATTGGACAATCATAAACTCCTTTTGAGACTTCACAAACTTTACTTGGTTGGCGATGGGATCAGAAAACACATTGTACACGTCCTTTCCTCTGATTTATACCATATATATCCATTCATCTATGGATTTATATAATTCAAAAGGCATGCAACTATTATCACCTTCATCCGACTATTCAACTATCTGCCCGCCTGTGAGGCCAGCGGGCAAACTTTTTACAAGTGTACGTAAATCCCTGAATACGCCCCCAACTGTACCATTCTGGAAACATTTCTGCAAGTAAATTGCCTTTTTAAATATCCAAAGGTCATACAAAGTATGAGACCATTTTCTGCCAATTTTAGCAGACAGTGATTTTCTCAAAATCATATGAGCAGAATAATTACCATTAATGCCCTGAATGTTGTTGACTAATAATCAGATTTTCTATTATGAGGGAAATTCATGGAATTTCACAGAGTTTTGGAGTCTGTTTGAAGCTTAGTGCTAATCCCGGTTAGTGTCACATAATAGTGATCTAAACAATGATATGACTATACAGTGTGACTAAATCCCATTTGACTTCCATCTGTGATATAAATGTAAACAGCTTTTAAAAGATCTGTTGCATATGTTCTAAGGATGTGAATTGTGAATCCTTGCGTACTGGAGATAGAGGGTAGTTATGTGACTGATTGCATTTGCCAGGTACAGAGTCTGGCTCTGTGTATTTTGATATGTGGGGGTGTCATAGACTAAGCTGGAGATTGTGGGTCACTGCTTGTGGCAGGTAATAGTCCTTCATGTGTTGGTAGCTAGTAGTAGCAGAAATTAATTCTACGTGTAATGGTATTTGTTTGTGGCATATGCTGTTTTTGTTGATATGTGTTGGTGGCAGAAAAAGTGTTCCAGTGTGCAAATTAAATATATGAAATTATTGCTGGTAGGCTAATATCTGGTGACTTGTGTTTCTAAAACTTATGAAGATATACTTTGTAGCCAACAATTACATATCTCTTTATTTTTTTTTTTTATTTATTCTAATGATCTAAATGAGTTCCATCACATCACTGTAAAAAAAAAATAATTTTCCAAATGTTATCCAAACTATTGTCATGTAGCAATCGTAAAAATAAAAAAAATGAGGTAAACTGTACTTCAAACTTATCAATGTTAAACAATATAAATGCCTCAATGAAGTGATGATTTTTTCACACCTGAGACCATGTAACACTAACGAGTCACATGACACTAGGGAGGGAAAATGGCTAATTGGGCCCATTTTGGACATTTCCACTTAGGGGTGTACTCACTTTTGTTGCCAACGATTCAGACATTAATGGCTGTGTGTTGAGTTATTCTGAGGGGACAGCAAATTTACACTGTAATACAGGCTGTACACTTACTACTTTACATTGTAGCAGAGTGTCATTTCTCCAGTGTTGTCACATGAAAGGATATAATAAAATATTTACAAAAATGTGAGGGCTGTACTCACTTTTGTGAGATACTGTACATCCTATAAACCATTACATACATGGTTATTGGCTTGGCTGTGCTTTAAATATCAAACATTTATTCTTCAAAAATCCTCTATTAATTAGACAATTTCTCTGATACGTAACTGTCATGGAACATATTACTCATGTGTGCTTCCCTTCTTCCAACACCCTGTGCCAAACTGCAATTCCACTGCTCTCCATTATTTAAAGCCCTTGACCCATGAGTCAACTTCCATCCACACCTCCTAGAGTATCAATGGAACATCACTTAAGACTCACTTTCTAGTATTGCCATTCAAATGCAAGTTGGTGGAATCAGTTGCTATCACTATGCAAACTCACCTCTCCAGTTAGGGCACCCTTTCCATTTCTATTTTCTTTTTTTCCTGCATCCTTAAACATTTTTGTGTAAAAGCTGGCTACATATTTTTCATTCTGTCATTATCTGTATTCCTTGGCTCATTTATTTTACTCAATTAAATGATTCTCTGGTAACCTAAATCTACTCTTGTCCCCACACTGTGTTGCTGTTTTCCAGGTTAACTTCTTCAAAGTCTTACGCATGAAGCTGGCCACCGTAAGTCTACACCTTTCTATCTTACCTATTCATACCTAACATGTCATGTTGGATTCTTGATATCGTGAGAGTAACATAACCAGCTTTGGTAAAAAGTATTATCTTAGGAATTAGTATGCCCTTGAGATCCATATCCACATTATTCCATTGACATTTGCATACTGTTGGGCTATGACAAGTTTACATTCTGATTTATCTAGGTTACTCTTGATTTATAACAGAAAATAGGCTAACACTACAATATATCGTTTTTGGAGATTTCCACTTAGCAGAAAACTTAAAAGCACTCTAGTTCAGTGGCGCCATTTTTTAACGAAAAATAATGACCAATGAGTGATGTATCATATTTAATTACCCTAAATAGATCATATAACTATCACTTGCTGTGAAGGAACTTTCTAGATTTTAATGTGACAGAAAATGACAAACAGAAGCAACATTTCATACCCATTACCGCTCTCGAGGCTTCCATTCAAAAAACAGAATCCATTACATTGCTGTATCCATTGTCAATAACCCACGGTTGGGGGCCAGTCTTAGTATCAGTCATATTACATCATTTCATATCATTACCACCTCTAGTATGCTCTCAATTAAAGAACAAAAAAAATATGCATATTTACATTAGGAGATATTACTATGTATAAATTAGTGTACAAACAAACCTTTATTGCTGCACTTCCCAGTAATTTATGATCCAGCTTTTTATGGAAAAAAATCTTTTTTTACTAATTTCTCCCAAGAAAGTGTTACTGTTAATACTGCACTTTGCATTTGATTGCTTATTTCCAAACCATCAAATGTTAGCCATTTAAAGTATTCTCCAGTGACACCTTAAAAATTTCTTTTGTTTTATGATAGATGTATTTGGAGATAAAACTTACTCTGTAATTTCATCTAATTTTCCTCTATGTGCAACATTAAAAAGCCTAATGTGCCTATATTGTGCATGGTGCAAATAATACTCTTAATTGAAGACGTCCAGGGGAGCGAAGGCTGCATTGTGTCTAATCTGTATAATTTATACACTTACACCCACCTAGCCAAACAAGGGGTAATTGCCTATTCAAGTGCTAAACTGTCAAGATTTCAGTGTATTTCCTCATCCTGATTAAACATACATTATGTTCATTTAAACTGCCCAATGTATTATTGTGTATACATTTTATTTATCGATGTATTCCTTTTTCACACTTTAAAACTATTGAAAAAACTTGATGTTAAAATGTTACAAAACTACTCAAATTAAGAAAACCACTAGATGTTTATAACTGATGAATACCTTTCTCATTCAATGTTCCTTTATATAATTAACACCAAATCTTAAGTCCAGGTTGTTGGAAATAGGGCTAAAAGTGAATTGTGCAAAAACAAAAAAATGCACTATAATTAATAATAAATGATTAATGAATATAAAATATATAGCTTGTAATGTACAATAGTCAAGGCTCATGTGGATCAGATATGCAATGTATATTCACCTCCCAACCAAAGGAGAGAGAGTTGGAATTCAAGCTAATGAGTATTCTGTAGATATTTTCTGTTCATTTTAGAAAACTAATGTCCACATGGAAACATTTAGGAAAAATTGGCAAGCTATAAAGAAAAAAAATACTATAAATAAAAAAGGTGTTTGACCCCTTAAAGGACCACTATAGTGCCAGGAAAACATACTCGTTTTCCTGGCACTATAGTTCCCTGAGGGTGCCCCCACCCTAAGGGACCCCCTCCCCCCGGGCTGTGGGGAGAGGAAAGGGGTTAAACTTACCTTTTTTTCCAGCGCCGGGCAGGGAGCTCTCTTCCTCCTCTCTGCCTCCGATCCTCCTCTTCGCCTGAATGCGCATGCGCGGCAGGAGCTGCGCGCGCATTCAGCCAGTCTCATAGGAAAGCATTGATTTTCACAGTGAGAAGCACGCAAACGCCTCTAGCGGCTGTTAATGAGACAGCCACTAGAGGCTTTAGAGGCTGGATTAACCCTATTATAAACATAGCAGTTTCTCTGAAACTGCTATGTTTATAAAAAAAAAAGGGTTACTCCTAGAGCGACCTGGCACCCAGACCACTTCATTAAGCTGAAGTGGTCTGGGTGCCTAGAGTGGTCCTTTAAGGACCAAACTTCTGGAATAAAAGGGAATCATGACATGTCAGACATGTCATGTGTCCTTAAGGGGTTACATTTATAGAGACAACTGAAACTCTTGTGGTTAATTTCATTATTATTTAGAAGGACAAAAATAATGGGGGTAAGCAAATTGTTTTCATATGCTTAAAAAGCAGCGTTACATTATTTTAAGTAACAAATCAACCCAAAATATCACAGTCTGATTAGATGAAAAAAATCCCAGCAGAAACATTTCCAAGAATTGTATGCCGTGGAACTCTCCTTGGAAATCATGTATCATCTTGTTCTCTTTAATTGTTTCAACATACTTAATTAATTCTGAACGGATTTAGATGTTTTGAAAAAAATAATTCTTCAGAACCTTGAATGCACCTATTAAAGTGTGATGGAATGCTCAATGAGCATCTTTACTTTCAACCATTAAATAGATCTTAGTTTTAAAGAATGGACAGAAAGATTTATACTATTTATGCTAGGAAAGAAAGCTTTTTAGAAGACACTTAACAATTTCTACAAATAGGTTTGCAGAGTCATTATACACAGTTCTATGTTAAGCTGCTCTTTCATTAGACTTTAAAAAAAAAACATCATCCATTGAGACTCGAGGAAATGAGATTTCTCCTAGAAATCTTCTGTCTCTAATGGGATAGATAAAGCTCATCATAACTTTCTCTCTTGATTTGAATGCCAAGGTGTTAAGCGATGTAAATTAATTTATCTCTAGTTGATTAGAGCTCCTTCTAGCTCAAAACAGATTGTTACATCGTCAATAAAAATCAGAACATATGTCTATTTGTCCTCTTAACTCCTGGAATATGCTACGTGTTGGCTTTAAAACTGCTGGTGCTTTTCAAAAGACTTGTAGGTAATCTACATCATGCTATTTAATTTCCAAGAAGTCTGAAGTCTCTACTGCTTTATCCATGGACCATGAAACCCCCATGATGTTGCTTATATCTTCCTCTCCTTAAGATATAAATGTAATGTGTCTCTGTTTCACAATTTCGATACTTCTCGTTGTAACAATGTTTGTTTATCCATTCCAAGTACCATAGTTCATGCTGTGGATCTTTAGTGATACTGCTGTTTTCTCTTGATTATATTTCCAAGAGACTATTATTTTTGAAGCATGGTATAAATAAATGTTCCGATTAAAGGAAAGGACACCATTATTTATGATGTAACTTCCGTTTTCTTTGTACACTGAATACCTCCCACGGACTGCTAACACAGGGATTAACTGAGAGTAATTTTGTAATTAATTGATTTTTATGTTATCTGTTCTTATGTATTTGATTTTTTTGTTAATGGTTTGCCCTATAAATACCTCTATGTTTGATGTGCACATTATGCCTCATAAAGGTTCCAGCAGAGAGCTAAAATATTGCTTTGAATCAATAAAGAATGCTCACTAACATCTCATTGAGTGACAAGACATCTTTCTTTATTTATATTTAAATTGGAAACTGGTCATGGGTGCCATGGCTCATTGATACACGTGGGGAGCGAAGGCTAACCCATCTGGTCTGATTACACAGAAGAGCAACTGTAGCTTGAATTGCTGAAATACTTATTGATTGGCTATTAAGAAAGATATCACAAAGGGTATCACAGTTTGCAGAATATGAGGGTGTATAGCCGTAGATCAGTCAGAGTGTCCATGATGACCCCTGTCCACTGCTGAAAGCACCTTCAAAGGGGGATGTCAATGTCAAGACTGGACTATAGAGCAATGGAAGAAGGTTGCCTTGTCTAATGAATCAGATTTTCTATTATATCACATTGATGGCTGGGTCCATGTGCATCATTTACCTGGTGAAGAGATGGCCGCTGAATGCAGTACAGGAAAAAGGCAAGCCGGTGAAGGCAGTATTAACCTCCATGAAGTGTTTTGCTGGGAAATCTTTGGTCCCGGAATTCATGTGGAAGTTACTTTAGCACGTACCACTTCCCAGAGATTGTTGCAGACCATGTACACCTCCCCCCCCCATGACAATACTGCTCCCTGATGGCAGCTAACTCTTTTAGCAGGATAATGCACCCTGCCACACTGCATAAATTGTTCAGAAATGGTTTGAGGAGCATGACAAAAGAGTTCAAGGTGTCACCTTGGCCTCCAAATTTTCCAGATCTCAATCTGATTAAGAATCTGTGGGATGTGCTGCAACAACAAATCTGATCCATGGAGACCCCACCTCAGAACTTGCAGGACTTAAAGGACCTGTTGCTAATGTCTTGGTGCCAGATATCACAAGATACGTTAAGGGGTCTTGTGGAGTCTTGGTGAATCAGAGGTTTTTTGGCAGAACAAAAAGGACCTACACAATATTTGGCAGGTGGTTTTAATGTTATGGCCGATCAGGCAAATTTACAAACAGATAATTGTTTTAACTTGTTTTTTTCATTTGAGGTCATTATTCTCTTTAAGAAAAAAAAATGAGTTTGAAGCAATGATTGCAAAACCCCCCAAAAAAGATTTTTCTATCGACAGTATTGTCAAACAGCAGCTGCATTTTCCAGCTGCTAATTGTCTTTTCAGAAATGCGGCATATCAAGCTTATTACCATATATTTAATAAACATCAATTATCATATTGCAAATACATAGTTAGATCACAAATCTAAAGCAGAATATATTATGTTTTTGTGTCAATCTAATTCTACCTGGAAAATAATGAGATTAGTTTTTTTTTTATCAAGGTTAACAAAGAAATGCAAACGCACACTCTGAATAAACACAAAGAAGGTTGTCTGAGATAAACTTATGTTCTAAGCTTTGGGTTCTGATTAATCGGCATGTTCACTAAACTGTGAGTTGTGATTATTTGATAAGATTTATCCCAAAATAGTCAGGCTGGGTAAAAAAATCATGTTTACTCAGCTGAGTTAAAAGCATTCCAACTCAGTTATTTTGAGTTAAACTCATCGTTTGTACAAGAAGAAGCAGTGATTGTAGTTAAAACTAAAGTCTTGTTTAGTTGGCTAGTTCAGAGATCATGGAGCTGTTTCTTCAACCAGAACAAGCAAAACTTTTCATGCCAGGTCCCACTGGGACAGAAACCACATAAGACCTTAATCGATTATAGTGCAAATGAGAAAAACTGAGCTTTATTCTTCCATAAAATCCAAAATACAGTGGTGTGGATAGTGGAGAATAACTGGAATTGAAATGTCTAACGTGTTTCATAGTGCGATGGGGAAACTTTATCGTAGACTTCAAAAGATCCGGCATAAAAAGCTTTGACTTAAAATCACTGTTTAGGGAAAATTATCCTCAACATTAATTAGTGGGAATAACTGCAAAATTAGACCAAAGCATAGACTGGAAGTGCAACGTATATTTACATTTAAGTTTTGAAACAATTTTATCCCCTATGTTTAAAAAAAAAGAAAGAAAGAAAAGAATTGCAACAAGTAAAGTCACTTGGATAATATTTACTAATGAACAATTTAACATGTTGCTTATTCTTAGCTGATTATTTTTTAATGAGAAGACACAACTGAGAAGACCCAGTCATTAAATTTAGCGATTTCGGTCTGTTTCCGTGTTGTCAAAACACTAGAAATCAACTTCTGGTTCTTTCCATTATCTAATGATTGGTAAGTTTTTTTACATTTCCCAAACAGATTAATTAGAGATTATAACACCTTATATGAAATTAATTTAGAATTCCTGTCTATTCATACTTTAGAGACTAACCCTGTTGTTTTACATGCTAGCCGGTGAAAATTAACACCCGTGCTATCTGACAAAAAATTACACTTGCTTCATTTTGGTGTAATGAGGAAAACACAAGTTAACACATATAAACTTTTAAAACATCCTATAGGATAGCATTACATGTAGTCTATATTTACGCACCAAAGCATGATGCATGTACATGTGCAATGTTGTAAGGTGCTTGGCAACACAAAGTGGCTTTTCACTAAATGGTTATTTGTTGTAATTTGAGAAACAAATTGCACAGTTAAAAAAAACTAAAATTTGTTCTTCAATTGTCAATTCACTCGTTTTAACTGTTTACTGAGTAAACACTTCAGGGCAACTTACTCAGGCCATTGCAGGTGAAGTGCACATCTGGTGAACGAACCTTTTATTGTGTCCTGGTGGAGATGCAATAGCAATAATTGTACCTATGTATTCATTTTGTAAAATGATAAATGCTTCATTATGATTGGCTTGTGAAAGTGGACATGAGTAGTGTGCATGAGCTATTGTCTTTTGGTACTACATACCTTCCAACAGTCTTGGGTCTGAGCCATGGATTTGGACTCTCGTCCTGCGGCCCCAAATTTTGCTATCTGAAGTCCAGCATCTGTGGACCTCAGAGACCGAATTCCCATAAGGCACAATGAAGACCAATCTGAGGGCATTCAAACCAACAGCACTCCGTGTGGCTGCCTTCAACAGGACTGGCCAGTGTGGTGGCCATTAATCCTGGTTTATTCACACTAGGCTGACATGCTCCTTTTTCAGATGGGCCCTTCTTCTATTTTTGGACACTCACACCCTGTGGATAAATTCAGTGATACACTCCCCTATCAGCACACCACCGAAGTCCCATTTCTATCTCTTTCACAGTTGGAAGGTATGCTATTAATAATGCTTAACAGCTGCTTTTTTACAACACATTAGAACACATTTGGTCTTCAACCAGCCACTGAATTTTAAACTCACCATAATCCTTTCCCCTTAATCCTTAAGGGCCATGTAAATTATGATTCTTAAAACAGACACAAAGACTCAACTTACACTATATGGACAAATAAATTGGTACACCTGACCATTACACCAACAGGGAATGTTATGGCATTGCATACTAAATACATAAACATTAATATAGTTGGTCCCACCTTTGCAGCTCTAATAGCATCCACTCTTCTGGGAAGACTTTCCACAAATATTTTGAGTATTTCTGTGGAAAGTGTTGCCCATTCATCAAGTAGAGCATTTATGACGTCAGGCTCTAATGTTGGAAAAGAATACCGGGCTCACATTTCTATTTTCTGATTCATCCCAAAGGTGTTTGAGGCCAGTCAAGTTCTTTCACACCAAACTCATCCAGCTATATCTTTGCTTTGTGCACTGGGGCACAAACTGTTCGTACAAAGTTGAAGCACAGTATTGTCCAAAATGTCTTGGACATGCTGAATCATTAAGATGTGCCTTCACAGTAAGTACAGGGCCTAGATAAAGTCTTGAAAACAGCCCCATGCCATTATACCTCCTTCACCAAAGTTTGCACAGTGCAATTAAACAAGTAACGTTGTACTGGCATCCACCAAACCCAGACTCACCCATCAGACTGCCAAATAGATGCATCACTCCACAGAACATGTTTCCACTGCTCCAGAGTCCAGTGTTTGAGTGCTTCATACCACTAGATCTGGAACTGTACTTAGTGGTCCAAGGTTTGCATGCAGCTGCTTGGCCATGGAAACACATTCCATGAAGCACCCGCCGAACAGTTTTTGTGCTAATATCAATGCCAATGGAAGTTTGAAACTCTTCAGCTATGGAATCAGCAGAGCATTGGCAACTTTTACGCATGATCCACTTGAGCACTCGGTCACCCCTCTGTCAATCTGTGACTTTACGTGGTCCTCCACTTCATTGCTACTGTTCCTAAATGCATCCACTTTCCAATACTACCACTTACATTTGACCATGGAATATCTAGCAGGGATGAAATTTCATGAACCAACTAATGCAAAAGTGGCATTCTATCACAGTATCATGCTTGAATTCACTTAGCTCTTCAGAATGATCCAATAATTAAGGGGGAATGTCCCAATATTTTTGTCTGTATAGTGTTTAAACCATACTACTTACATGATTATTGACTGAAGTGTGAATTGTTGATCATTCAAAATTAATTTGGAATTGAATTTCTAACAATCCATTCTCAAGTGAATAACCGAATAAGACAATAGGTGTTCTAATATTTCCTTTAAGGAACTCTGTCATGCATAACATAATAATTTCAATTTTATTAATGTAATTTTATCTATACATTGCACCTGCCAAACTGCTAGTCTATAGCCTAGCAGATATTTTAAAATTAATTTTGGCACTCTGTGATCTGCTCTCTGGTCCCAGCTATCCAAAAAGAGTACCCATGCTCCTGGAGATCCCACCCAGCATCCTTTGCAAAATGTCCCAAAACAGATCACAAAGAATCACCTTCCCATGGTACTGGAATTCATGGTGGCTAGCTTGCAACAGGAGCAGAAGCCACAAAATGGGCAAAAACCCACTGAGCAGATAAAATTATTTGTTGACTTAAAATGAGCCACAACGTTCCATACATTGTTGTAGTTTTAATTATGATTTAACCACATGGATGATCATTCCCTTGTTTGTAAGGAAAACTGATCATTACAAAATTCTCTTTTTGATCAATATTGAGTAATTGCCAGAGTGACTGCAGGTTTAAATTGATACATAGAGAGGACTACAGTCCCCTAAGTGCTCTTCAATAGTATGAATATGATGAGGTTAGTATTGACCACAGCCAATTTCCATTAATTGAAACAAAACAATGATGGGATGACTGGATACTATTCTGTTTAAACAACTTCAGTACAGCTTACTTAAACACGGAAAAAGTTCATATACTTTTAACTACAACACGCTGCTTGACAGTGCCAATAAATATGATATATTTAGCGTAAGAGCCCTTAGAGCAGTCATCCACTAGAGCCAGGGATAGGCAACCAGATGTTGTGGACTACATCCTCTATAATGCTATTAAACCCATAGTGCTGGCAAAGAATCATGGGAGGTGTGGTCCAAAACATCTGGAGCGCCGAAGGTTGCCTATGCCTGCACTAGCCTTTCTCCTAAATTTTCATGCAGCCACGTCTGACCATTTGACATATGTTTGTGCATACAAGCTTAGAACAAGTTCTAAGATAATGTAGAGGATAATGTATTCGATTGAAAAGATAATGTGACTAAGGACCTCTGTGGAAAGGGACAGATTGTATCCCAGAGGAATCATTTGTCTCGAGTTTTTTTGGTAAGATTGATATTTCTATAAACTTCAGCGTTAAGACAGCTTTATAATTGATTTATAAGGTTGTGTTGAGTAACCATAACCTTAGTCCAACATAATTAAAATAATATTAGCCCATATTTTTTATTGATAAGGTCTCTTTAATATAAAATATGTATATATCTTTACATATTATCTATAATGTAATATAAAAATTGAATACTATAATTATAAAATACAATAATACATAAATGAAAAGTGCTTTAGATTAGAATTAGGATGTACATTTTTCATAGCCAAATCAAGTTTGCTTGTTATTATCTATTAACCCTTTAACTAACAATAAAAATACTGTAATGAAACAAGAATTTAGAGGATCAAAATGGTACTCGAAGGTTAAAACCAGCTTTTTGTCATTTAACCTTGACTACCCTAGAGTTTACTTATCATCTTACTGCCTACTGCACACGTCAACCGAAAGGTTACAGACAATGTTATAAGTAGAACTTAGCTTCAGGCAAAAAAAGATTCACATTTAATTAATCTGGAGGCAATCTATTGTCCATATCACCATAGAACAGGCTTCCAATTGGGGAGGGGTAATCCTGAATTTCAGGGGACTTGTGTCAGTACTTTGTGGGATTTTATATATAGGAGAGATTTCATTTATTTCAGGGAAATAATCAATACTTGCTGGTATTGTGAGCAAGATCTCTAGACTAATGTCAATCTTACTGATTTAGCGTTCTTTTCTGTAATTCTAGCCTACATGATCCAGCTGGCTATCTCTGTTCTCTGACTTAGAATGCGCTGCATCGAACTTCACTTTATGGAGGCTCGAGAAGAATATTTAATGCTTCAGGGATGTCTTACCTGAGTGGGAGCTAGGAGTTCAAACCAATGTTAGAAACGAGTAATGCGCTACAGTAAACCTTGCAATAAATTAGTTTTGATTTAAAATATGGAAAAATTTATCTTACAATTCATCAAACCATAATTTTAGAATTATTATTAGACATTTATAGAATATGCAGGAAAATGTATTCCCACCCCTAACATTAACCTTTTTCAGAAATTATTTTCTGAATAGAGAAATTAAAGATATTTGGTTGTCACATTGAAGTACCAAAGGTCCATCACTGACATATACCATAATCTACTTTCACCCCATGTGGCTTCTCAACACATCTTCAGTTTGATCTTCCCATGGCTGTATCCTCATATGTTTATCTGTGGTCTAACCAAATTCACAAGTGGTACAGCAGAAACCCCTGAGGCACAAGCACAAAGAGCAAGCACCATCCATTAGCTGTCACCTAGCAAAATCATTGTATGCACTGATGTAACCCATATCAGCAGTGATACAGGCATAGCCCTTCTCACACAAGTCTTACAGCATCTCAGTTACAATGTGCTCGCATTAGGCAGAAAGACATGGAGAGCTAGGCAAGGAAGCAGAAAAACTATCATTTTCATTTTCTGCAAGATCAGAGACATAAATGTATATATCCCTACAGATTAATAATGTATGAGTGAAAAGTGTGATAGTGACATTTGCTGAATGAAGCAGTGTATTTGACTATTGCATAGGGGTATTTATTTATACTGGATATTGTACTGCTAAAATGTATAGACAAATTTAATACAGCATTTACAAGCTCATTTAAAGAAAAATGACCACTTTGGCAAACTATATTTATAACAAATAGTGCAATATTCACAGATCCCAGAGAGAACCCATTCATATACACAACATAATGTTTTTACACTGGAAAGTGAGATTTGCCATTCACGGAAAAATAGAGCACTCTATTCATGTAAGAAGATACATTCACAGAAATGGACCACTCTGTATAATATGATGCATTTATGCTGAGCAGTGAAACGCTAACATTTACAGGGTGAAAAAAAAACCTCAGTTCTAGAGAACACATTGTATTGTTTCTGCCCCGTATTGAAATATCCCAATTACAGAAATGGCTCACTCTAACATTCTATTTGATAGAACACATTGTATTCATGTTGGACATTCAGCTAGTGTCAGTTGCAGTAAATGGGTAATTTCTTGATGTCAGCTAGTCCCGGTGTGGTGTACACAGATACTTGTCTGCGCTCAAGTTGCAAATAGAAGATGCTCCAATGCACTGAGTGTGTGGTACCTACCTGGGATAGCTAAACAGGTGAGTGGAACCCTGTGGATATGTTCTGGTAAAGTTGCCATCCAGTCTGCAGCTTGCAGGTCGCTCTTCCCTTGAGATGAAGCCATTCTGTGCTGTACACACTCTCTGTCTGACTCTGTGTGCCTTGCTCTGTATCCAAGGCTTTGCTCCTGCGCTGTTACAGTGTACACGGCTCTGCACCACACCCACTGGATGGCGCAGGCACATGTTCTCTCCCATCTTCCATTCTCTCAATGGAGCTGTATTATGCCAGTCTGAATAACCAGCCCCTATTTATAATACCACTGGCTGCTTTAAATATATCCCATTCCCATTACTGATGAGTCTCTGTCTCATTTGCTACATTGATGTGATGTGGACTTATTATAATTTTTTTAATGTGTATTTTTTTTCCTTCTCATTTTGGAAAGCATGTATTGATTTTAGCTTCAGGTTTTCAAAATGCATGCATACAATGTCACTGGGGCTAGTGACAGTCTGGGTGGCTTTCTACTCAGTAAACTGGTCCAAGCACAGCTTGAATCTCACCCAGACACAGCTCTCATTTATTCAATTAAACACACAGATCAGGTAATGCTTTTTGGAGAATATTACTGGCTCTGCCAGTTCTGTTACTAACCCTAGGTGGTAGGGAGCTATAGCTGGCTTAGAATTCTAGCAACATAGCATGATTTCTGCTTTTGTGATACTGGGAGCTTTTTATACAACAACCTCTGGTATGATAAGGGTTAAATGGTTAATGTTATATACAACCTGCTGTGGATTAGGTGAGTAGGATGTGCTTTTTCAGATTGAGCTCAATTTCACTAATATGTTGTGCTGTACTTGGTTTCAACATTATATTGACTTATAGGCAACACATTATTTTATATACACAATAACTCCTATGTAGATATACATACACATACATGGAGCAATGTATTGCCTGCTCATATATTATATAATATATATATAATAATACACAGCAGAGTCTTGATGTGGATGTTATGAATTTCTAAAAATGCCTCTTGATTTAGATCTGAGCAGAATTCGGTTAATGTGCATTTTGGGTGCTGTTTGAATTCTCTGCAGTAGTCTTGCTGATATTGTTTGGGATTTAGCTTTGCAAGTTAATCATAGCGATACAATACATCAGATTTCATTTGATTTTTTATTTAGCAGCTCATTGAGTTCCATGACCGGAAGAAACTCATTGGCTTGGCTTGCGAACACTATTTTTCAACTCTTATTTTTTTTTGTTTTACTCACACTGTCCGTGTCTTTTGCATAAGAAACATATACAGGGTTATTTACTAAAATGAGAATTAAAAATTAATCAAATGTTCATTTCTAATTTAATGTTAAAATAGCAGAGCTGAGAAAATTCTCTAAGTTGGCAATGCTTTCAGTTTGGTTAACCTAGTAATTTGATATTCACTTTGAATTTTCACGTTAGTAAATAACCTTGCTCACACAAGTTTACCAGTGAAAAAGTTAACGTGGATGCGGAACAAGTCCATGTGAGCTAGTACCATACCACACTGATGTAAGAGAAATGTATAAAAGAAAAACCGTTGTCGCAGCTTGCAAAGATATTGCAAGTTGCCTAGAATCAGTGTAAATGTAAATTTCTTTTTACACATATAAAACATACATGAACATGGGATTTGTGATACGTTCTAAATTAGACTGACTTAGTACTTTAATATAGTGGCAGGCTAGGCATGATATGACCATACAGTCTGAGATTTCCTGCTCTCCCATGGTATTCCATTAAACTTATTTAAAGGGAACCTATAGGTACAAATAATATTCATTATATTGGTCCACCCCCCTTTTTAAAAATAAAAAATAAAAATAATAAAGTTAACTAAAGATTACTTTCCTCATTTCCAATACAGGGACTCCTCTGTTGAAGCCACTCACTACAGCTTCGAGGACGTCAGAATGCTGCTGATGTCTTCCATGATCTGCTCCAATCCAATGTTATTTAGAGAAGAAACAGATTGGAACTTGGCATGTCACGCCACGTTCCTCCAATCACAAGCTCCTATCAGCAGCATTTGGTTCCTAGACTGAGTTTCTCTCAGGTCTGGAGTAGGAAGCACCTCCTGGGGTTGTCAGGAAAACAGCCACTAGAATTATATTTGGCCCAGCAATATACACACTGAGTTTCTGCAAAACAGAAATGATTTATATTGCAGGGTCAAAATGACAGGACAACTTCACCCGGACCACTTTATTGAGATGAAGGTGACTTTAGTGGGTTTTTTTTAATTTAAATTTATCAAGGCTGTAACATATTGTTTCACAGGCTTAAAGGGGTCCTATAATGCCAGGAAAACAAAGCCATTTTCCTGCCACTATAGGGTTAATAGGTTCCCCCCTCCTCACACCCCCTCTCCTGTGAGGTTTAAGGGATTAAAACCCCGTCAGCCACTTACCTGAATCCAGCGCTAATGTCCTTCTGCGCTGGGTCATGCTCCGCCCATGCTCCTTCCCCTGCTGATGTTAGCCAGCAGGGGAGACCTAATGCCCATGGCTGGTAGACAGCCACTGAGGGCAGACTTAGAGCTGCAATGTAAACATTTGCACTAGGTGCAAAAGGGACACAGCACCCAGACCACTTCAATGAGCTGAAGTGGTCTGGGTGCCTACATTGTCCCTTTAATAGTAAAACAACTGAGCTGACAAGATTTTTCCTAATGCAGGCCATATTAGACCCCCAGGAATTTATCTGTGAAGTATAAATGCAGCCAGCCCTGTTTATAACCTGTCACAAAAAGCATGGTTGGTCCATTTTGCATGCTTTTTCATGTCCATCTGAATGTACTTCAGACTTAGCATCTGTAAGTGATTTACTCATGTAATTACATGAGCTTTAGATGAAATCACAATATCTATGAAAGACAATTGATGTTTACATGAAAACATGAACTTCATGCATTTTTAGATCATTTAGTTCATAATGTCCATGGTCTTTACATAAAATTGCTCAGTTTAAAAATAGGGCACACAGGGCAGCTACAGGAAGTATTACTTTACTGAGAGGGTAGTGGATGCATGGAATAGATTTCCAGCTGAAGTGGTAGAGGTTAACACAGTAAAGGAGTTTAAGCATGTGTGGGATAGGCATAAGGCTATCCTAACTATAAGATAAGGCCAGGGACTAATGAAAGTATTTAGAAAATTGGACAGACTTAATTGGCCGAATGGTTCTTACCTGCCATCACATTCTATGTTTCTATGTTTACACCAGCATTATTTGTAACATGGACACAAAGCCTATTCTCCATGTTAGCTGTGATGTGATGATTACACTGGGTGACAAAACACACACTGTTACAATGTTACAACCGTTTTGAGCTGATATAGAAACTACATAGTAGCTTTAGATAACTTTTGCATGCATTTGTGGTACTGAGAAAAGTCTGTGGCAGTGGCAGTGCTTTTTGCATGTGTTTTGCATGTAATGAATGAAGGTACAAACAGAAGAGAACATGAGCCAATGTCTCAATGGTATTGCTTAGTATGAAATACCAACTGAATTTAATATTCAACTTTTGTGAGATACTTTCATTTTGGTATAAATTGTAAATCAGCCTGATAATCTGATCATCTTAGAAAAATAATTTGGAAATTCAAACAATGTCAACATGTTCCAGGAATGTCAAAAAAATATGTGCGCTCTATATATTGCACACTGGGTTGGAACATAGCTATATATACCAATGAGTTTGCTATATGTTTTTATAGAATTAATACATTGTAATTGTATACAATTAAGCAGATGCTTACAAATATGTGTTCAATTATCAAAGTGTCCCCTCTTTCAAACTCATCTCAAAATTGTTGTAATCAATATATTGCCACTGTAGCATGACTGTATTATAAAGAAGAGGCATAAATACAGCTCTAGGCACATCACTGTCAGTATCCTTTCCTAATTCTATAAATCTCTTGCACTACCAGGATGTACTGCTTTCTTGATGTAGACAGTCACAAAACGTGACCACTGAAGTCTATGAATGTCAGACATAGAACAATAGTTTTGCCATCACTGGACTAGACAGTAAAAGCCATAGCTTCAATATGGAAATATAAGAATTACTACTAGTAGTATTGTTAACAATAATAATAATAATAATAATCATCATAATAATAATAAGTAGCAACAGGATAAATTATAACAATTCCATAAATAGTTGCTGTGTTTTATATCTATAAATTAGTAAATATCTAGAGCAGTAATTTTCACGAAAAAATTACAACTAATAAGGCAATTTAGTTAGAAGTATGCATATTTCTCAGGTAATGCTGAAACAAAGTGTGAAAATAATTAAAAGCTTCTGACCAAGGGCAAAACATAAAGTATGCCTTGGAAAATACAAATGATATACCAAACCGTTTGGGAACTCCTAACTTAGAGGCAGAATAATTTATTATAGAGAATTTCTTTAGTTTAGTAGCTGTCCACAACGTTAGTGCTAAAGTATAAATATGTTTTTATATGTGTGCTACATTTACTGTATGCCTTCTCAGACTGAAAATATCAAATAAAAAGATATTTACTGATTTCTAACATTAAAAACAAGGCTTTTTATTTAATTTAATGGATACTGCGAACACTAAAAGCACCTACCATCCTTACTTTAATTGTGGCTCAAGGAGCTGCACTGTCATCATGTATTCTTTTAGGTATTTGTGAAAATTGCTGGAGCTCTAAGTCCACACCCTTTGCTTATTGATACCACATTGAGAAACTATGATTCTGACTGCCAGTACAAGGATTTGAATGGACTGTGCCAGCATTTTTCAGATTGCAATATTCCTCTATTCATTAATAGCTTTATGTGTGACAACCCATTCTGTTGGTGTGCATCTATGTAACTGTTATTGACTTTATCTCCAAAATATCTAAATTAAACTATTATAAAGAAAACCTGTTGTGTTTATAAAAACTTGTGCAGTAGTTGCATCTTTTAATAAATAAATAAATCACTGTTAACATATATAAGTATGATAAGTCAAGTAATTACAAGACAGGGAAACATGCGCTCATGTAAAAGAAAGTGAATCCTCAGGACTCATTATGCAAGTGCGGCCACAAACAACAAACAAGTTTTACAAATGTTTACAAATGTATTACATAAAAAAACACCAAGACAAAAAATTAAAAACGAAAAAAAAATCAAACAAACCAGACTTTGCATTGTACAAATGTATGTACAATTCACCAGATATGAATTACAATATTCCCAGCCGCAAATGAAATATTAATTATAATCTATGCTTCATGCGATAGGCAATCTGACTACTTGGGCACATGGTCATTGAGTTACCAACCTGGAATCTTTTGCTGAATCACTGGGGATACCTCTGAAACATGAAATTTTCTTTCTGCCATTCCAAGCAGTTGTGCAAAATCATTGTAGATAGCTGTGCCCTTTACCATTGCCCAAAAAAAACTTCCAAAGTAAACACACTGCTCTGTATGTTTGAAAATTAAATATTTTTTGTTCCCATGGAGGCTGCTGTTTTGCCATTCTCTTTTAATAAGCTAAATCCAGAGCTTAAAATATTAAACTCTGTTGAGCTGTGTCTTTATCTTTCTTTTGTCAAGATTATTTTGTCTGTCAATCACATATTAAATATTGTCATTGTTTAATTGTAAAGTGCTGCGAAAAATGGTGGCACTATACAAGTGCTAGTAATGATGATACCCTGTCAGTTTCTTGCATTGAACATTATTTCAGCACTATGAACTGTCCAATTACTGCCTGGTGTTACGGGGTAAGTCTTCTACAGCCATATATATTTCCATTACTTTTTATTGTTTAATAAATGTATTTGTTGCTAGCCGTGTATCTGTGAGGTCACAAATACCTACAAAAGGTTTCTCTTTGCTTTATGTTAGTTTTTCATTTTTCTGCTTCATAAACTGGGTTTATATATATATTAATGGCGCATAGTGTACTGTAAAATGATGGACCCAAGACAAGATACTACCTATTGAAGTAACACAATACAGTGTTTGTATATGTGTACATATGCATGTGAATTTATCTGTGTCTTTGTAAAAATAAAAACATAGAACCATAGAAAAACATCTGCGGTATTGGTACGTTCTTATTTCCTTGTACACTATGTATAACTTTATCTTTTCAGCAGCATTCCAATTAATATTTCCTTGTTAAGGCAAGAATTTATTTTTACACAAACACAGGAAAACACCCATATGCACACATACACACACATGCACAAACCGCACACACAGTAAACACACTGTTTGTACATGTGTGTGCATGCATGCGGAATTGCGTGCGTGTATCTGTGTATATCTTAATATCACCATGGAATCATTTCTTTTTGGGGGGAAATAAACTTCTAAAAACTGTAGAAAATCATCTGCGGCTTTGTAATGATTTCCTTGTACACTATGTATAATTTTATATTTACTACAGCATTCCAATTAATATATCCTTTTTAAGGTAAGAATTTATTTTACACAAACAGGCAAACACACATATGCACACAAAAAAACACACAAACAAACAGCAAGATTGAGAAACAAATTGTAAGCATTTGACAAATATATATATATACATATATATATATATATATATATATATATATATATACTGTATGTATATATATATATATATATATATATATATATTCTGAATTTCTTGCTGCCAAACATTTGTTTGATTCAAACTGAATATAAAAATGATGTCCTAAAACCCCTTGTTTTTTTAATATGTATTATAAACCTCACTCAATACAGTAATATAAAAAAAAAAGAGAGAGGCTTGGATGTCTGCTGAAACATGACCCCATATGGTCAGAAGTAATTTCAATGTCCATCAACAATAACACTTATCAAAATAAGCAAATAACCTTAGCATGAAAAAGACAGCCGTGCATGCTGATAAGGAATATATCCCATGTCGCAGCCATCTGGACCCATCATCTGTTATAATCACCTCCTAAGATGATACAAATATAGATTGATTTTCAAACTCCAATGAGAAGCCATGCTGACACAAGGAAACACGGTGCTGGTCAATTTGGACACTGCACTGACAGTTCAGATATAATACTTTAATATATGGCTTGTAAAAAATGATACATTCTGAATTATATTTGTTGCAGGGAGAATTTGGAGAGAAAAAATGCATCTTTTTTATGAATTTTGTTTTTCATTAGAAGAGACGGTCTTCTCTGCAATATACAGACACACAATCTTGCTAAAAATGTAATTCTACAAGCATAAAGGAAACTATTAAACTGATAATTAACTAGTCCTCTTGTGATCTGAGAATAATATAATGGGGCTCTATTCACTATGCAAGCTTTGTAAAATTTAGCTAAAACAGCTGATTAGGTAAAAAATAAAGAGTAAAACATGCTTTGTAATGAGAACAGGAGTAGACTTATTTAGAGAAATATTTACTTAACGAGGAACTGATGAGAACTGACTTAGGGTTTGATAATGTTTGATTAAAACAGGGATCACAGAAAATGAAACAAAGTGGAGATTATTTTCCCCAGTCGGATATTTTAGTACAATTCCCTTTTTAATTCTCATCATTCTTGGTTTAGTGAATACATTACTTTGTATATGCATAGTTGAAAAGCAATGAAAAGAGTGAAAAATTATAACATTTTTGATAAAGTTTGGAAATCTGTAAATCTGTAAAATGTTTGTCAATGTGTTCAGTAATATAAAAATAAATAGCTAGGCTGTACAAACAAAAGCTGATATCCCAAAGACATGCTGATTGGGGCAGTTTTGTTAACTGAAACGCTACTGGTTTTAAAAAGGTCATAATTCAAATCAGTATTTATTTAACTACAGCCTTTTCACCCTTATTATCTGACAACATCGCCTTATAGACAATTCAGAATTTCCAGCGTGCTAATTTAGGCTTTCAGATGGTCATAGACAACAAACACTGAAACAGTGGAAAAGAAATCTATTTACTATGTTTTTTTTTTTTTTATGTTTAACAGTATAATTCAATATCTCTGGATTTTGTACAGGTTCTAGGAAGATGTAAAAGTATATGAATGTTTAAGCTATATATAGCTATTTACATTTTTTTTAATGGTTAGGTCTGGGGTAGGTTCCAAAAATTTTGGGCGTCACCGAGACACCTGTAGTAAAGGATTTACTCAGATTTACTCAGTTATATTGGAGTCTAGGCACAAAATGCCAGTTAGATGACATCAATCATGCATTTTTGGTGTCACATTCTTGGAGTTGGGTGCCATGGAAACCTAAAGTTTTAACTGCCAATCAGAATAGGTCTTATATTCCCTGGAGGTGTGGCCCACAGTCAGAGGCTGAGCATTACACTGTGAAAGCAATGCTTCGCCAAGTCTAGAAAGAAAGTAGCAGGCGTTCGAGACAGGAGAGTGAGAGGCACGAGTGAACTGAGTGTGTCCTAGAGTGAAGGGGGCCCAAACTGATAATCTACATAGGGTCCCATGAGGTCTTAGATCGTAGAGTATGGGATGCGAGCATATGATTGTTCTTTATTGCCACCAATGTTTTGGCCAAATATGTTGCTGCAGATGCAAGTCTCTGTAAATGCACCCTTAATGCAATCTATGCAAAATTAAACTGCGTTTTCTGATTCTAGTTTGACAATTTCAGTTAAGTATCAGCAATATACATGTTTCATGTATATATTTTTCAATGCTTAAATTGTGAATTGGTTTTAAAATAATTAGTTGGAGGTTGTTTACACAGAAAGACAATACATACCATTGCTGAAGGACATAACTACTTGCAGGTCTCACGTGGAAGCTGTATAAAATCATCAATATAATGATAAAGAACAGTCAAGGCCAGAGTATTTTACTGTTTACATGAAAGAAGAAAGCTTTTAAAGTAAGTGGCAGATATTAACGTTTACACTAAGTGGGTAACCGAAAGAAAACCTACAATTTCTATCCAGATACGTGGCAATAAAAAGGTAATGTACCCTTGTCCCTGACATTGCATACTTTCTGTGTTTCAGTCATGTAAGAATTTTGTTTTCAGAGATTTACAATATTTTATAGAAACCAGTGAGGATGTTGCAGGTTTTACTGGGGTGTGTAACAAATTGTACAGAATGCTTCTTGAAGAATTGTGCTTTACTTGCTTATCTGTATTGACCGAAATATGGGGTCAGAGTGTGACTGCTATCATACCTCCTAATATTTGGAAGTCCCATCATATATTCTATGAAAAGTATAGGTCCTAAATGTCTTCGTATCAGATAAGGTGGAATTTTTATTTTTCCACACAATGTTCCAACTCACACCTACCATATCTTGGGATTCAATTGAATTTGAGAACCTAAGAAAATATATATATATAAAAAAAGTTCTAACATTCCAAGTCTCCTCAAGATGTTGCTGAACTACAACTCCCATGATTCTTTCAATGACAGCCATAGAATCATGAGAGTTGTAGTTCAGCAACATCTGGAGAGCCACAGTCTGAGATCCCCTGACCCCCACTGCTAAGCAGCATTTGTGGAGACTTGGAATGTTAGAACTTTTTTTATATATAATTAATTTCCTGTATTTTCTTCCCAATGCTAATCCGCTTGTATGTCATACTTACCGATTTGCGAAACTCCCTCGGAGAAACTTCCAGGTTTCGACGTCTGACGTCAGACTTAGCCCCTTTAACCCCTTAAGGACACATGACATGTGTGACATGTCATGATTCCCTTTTATTCCAGAAGTTTGGTCCTTAAGGGGTTATTAAAGAGCAGCCACGGCAACTTTAATATCGCTCAGTTAATCTACGTGTACCTACTTGACTCAACTGATATCTCCAACCCCTGAATCAGACCGGACTACTCCAACCCCTGAATCAGACCGGACTATCCATAACTCTACAGCCTTTTACTCAAGCTAAGTTGTTAAAATATCTTCTTCTATAACAGTTAAAATCCTTTAAGTCTCCTATTATTTCTGCTAGATTATCTTTATAACAGACTTGTGCCAAACTAATTCTGCTTATTACTACTCCTTGCATTTTCCTGCTTGAAGGGAGAAAATTCAGCTATCTCTTGTTTAATTCAGACATTAATTCCTAATTCCTGGCTATTTGAACAAGTAAGCTCACTTCCATTTCTTCATAAAGAGACGTTACTTAATTTTTTTGCAATTCTGTTCCACAAAATCGGTTTCTAACTTGGTAACTGACATTGTGTTAGATTCTGCTAATTGAAATTCCAGCCATATTGAAACTCTACACCGCCATGATTCATTTATACATCATGGTGTATAAACAATAAAGACTAGTTTTTTTTCTTTAATAGTTTTTTTTTCTTTGTCATGCACAACATGCATAGTGGCCTTAGAATGCTCACATTAGAAACCACTAGTAAGCAGTATTGTCAACAAAGGAGTCTTGAAGAATATATCATAAGAAATCAATTGCAATTAAATAACATACAGGCAATTTTATGTTAGCAGCAGCCTCGTGTTTGAAAGACGACGTTTAGTTTGATCTACTTTCCCCCTTTGCTTCCTCTATGACTGAAAGAGAACACATTTTCTTACATAATTTATTCTGATTCATATTAAGCATCCTTTTTCATTTTATCCTTTATTCATACTTGGCCACTTAACCTATAGAGCCTCGATACTTTTATAAATAGCGTCTGTTCTGAAATATTGGGATAGATTTCATGCCAACACCCTGGCAAATGGTTTTACAAGTCACATGATTTTGAAAACCACAAATGTTCTATGAGAAGAGGCTCCAAAACCATCTTTCAACCTACTTTTTAGATGCAACTTGACCTTTTTACAACCTGCAAAATGTGTTTCACATTTCATACTCACCTAAGACCAACAAACGCCCAACAGTGAAATTAGGTCCACCAAATGTATTCACTATATCAAAATCTTAGACCAGGGATAGGCAACCTTCATCACTCCAGATGTTTTGGTCTACACCTCCCATGATTCTTTGCCAGCATTATGGGTGTAAGATCATTATGGGGGATGTAGTCCACAACATCTGAAGTGCTGAAGGTTGCCTATCCCTGTCTTAGATGATCTTACTGTACATCCAAAGAATGGAAATTAATTCTAAACATTTGCCATCATTTTCATTCTATGTTCAGGTATACCCACCAAATCCCATGGAATGTAACATCATTCTTAGTACAAGTATCATGCTTTAGCAAATAAAATGTAGGCTGCAAAATAACATTCTCTTTCTGACATTCTCAGTTTATATGGCATCACAGTTACACAGCAGATAATTTAAATTGAAATGCACTTTCTCTAAAAGCCTAAATGTGCTGTTTACGGTCTATGTAGACAGGGATAATCCATAATTTGAAACGCATAAACCTATGTGTTTAATTGAAAAGCAAATTGCAAGGAGCTTGTCCCATTCCCAGGTGGACATGCTAACACCGAGGAATGAGATTGAAGGTTTCAAAGCTTGGAACTGGAGCACTCAGTCTGTAATAAACCAATATTAAGATACAAAATAAATCATTTCCATGGGGAAGAAAAATATCTATAACAGCTGGTACCAAAAGCTGTCAAATTACAGTTTAGTATGATTAAAATCTGTATATTTTATTGTCCAAAATCTTCTTTACTTGAACAACATAAAATATTTAATTTCTATTTCTGCGATAAGTGGGTGAAGGTCCTGAAGCCTTTTACCAATAATGGCTAATATTTGAAATTACAGCTATTGTGGACAATTCATGTAACACCCATGAAGCTATTGAGAAAGCTTGTGCCATCACATGTTTACATGATGGTATGACATTTACAAAATCTAATTTCTTTATACCATAGGTATTATCAAACCTTTACCCTCGTTCAGTTAATCAAATCAATGGATAAGGCCAGGGACTAATGAAAGTATTTAGAAAACTGGGCAGACTAGATTAACGAATGGTTCTTATCTGCCGTCACATTCTATGGATCATTATTTCATTGACTAATTTCATGAACTAAAGCCTTGGGTTTCACCCTCCTATCATCTGTTGGAATGCTAATAGTTTGCTATTTTTGTTTTCTCACCATGGGGTGTCCTTTGAGTTAGGGATACGGCTTTAATGGTGCAAACGACTGTCAGGGAGGTGAGTAAGAGAGATCAGGAGATGAAGTGTATAGTAGGCTAAATGGTGCTATGTTAGTTTAGCCTACGTAATAAGCAGTAAGGAGATTTGGGGCCAATGAGGTGATCATTTGAACGCGCTAAATCCGAGATTAATTGTAGGTGAATCGCAAGCTAAATCAAATACGTAACGGCCAAGTTTTGATTCACAATTCTGAATTCTGCCTCTGGCACCAAAAAAAAAAGAGACAATTGATTAGAAAAAAGATGATTCATAGCCACAAAGTCATTAAATGTTGATTTTATTCACAGATCAAATGAGCAATATAGGTGAGAAAAATGAGCAATATGGGAGGAGGGGGAATTAGCAATATGGGGAGGGGGGGGGGAATGAGTAGCAGTAAAAATAACTTTTATTTATAAATGATATAGTTAATATATAATAAATAAATATACATTTTTATAGCTCATCTTGTTTTCCCTCTGTTGGAAAATGCTCCTATCAGTGTACTGCAAAATACATAATATTATATAATGAAGAAGTTTGAAGGAGCCAACATGAAAAAAACTGTTTAATTTTCAATCAGATCTAGGGTCATCGATAGAGGAGGGCTGGGGGAGCTAGAGCCCTGCTCCCAGTCTCCTCAGTGAGTCTAGGAAACAGCTGGGAGTGGAAGCAGTGCAGCACAGTAGAGAAAAACAAACAGAGAATATGATTAGAGTTTCATTTTCCCTGTGTGTTTATCACTGTACTGCTTCCATTAACCACTGAGACTCACTAAGGTGACCAGCATGGGCAGGGAGAGCAAAGCAGCATGGCAGCACCGGAGACCAGGGAGACTGGTAGCTCAATGATGTCCAGGGCCAGCAACGCGCTGCCTGAGTGCTCTCTCCCTACTGTAAACTTGTGATCACTGGTTGTGCTCAAACTAACTGGCTGTTTGCCTTTCCCTCAACCAAGGTACAAAGCCATCTTTTTGTAAATGTGTATAATTTTAATTGTGTGTGCTTGTCTGTTTGTGTCTCTCTGTGTCTGTGTGCTTGTCTGAGTCTGTGTGTGTGTGTGTATGAGTGTGTCTGTCTTGTCTATCTATGTCTGTCTGTTCCTGTATGCCATTCTGTACCTTCTGTGTCTGTCTGGGCCTGTGTGTGTGCCTGTTAGTGTCTGTGAGTACGTTCCTGTCACTGTCTATCTTTGCATGAGTGTTCCTGTCTGTGTCTTTGTTTACCTGTCAATGCCTGGCTGTGTACCTGTGTACCTGGTAAGTCTGTGCCTTTGTGTGCCTGTGCATGTGGGTGTGTTAATGCTTATGTGTGTGTGTGTGTTTGTGTGTGTGTGCCCCTCTGTGCCTATATGTGTGTATGCAATCTGAGCATGTGTTTCTAAGTAACTGTGAGTGTGCCAAGAGGCGTCTAAAGCAGTGCAATTGGAGATGGCCAGGAGTGGGGTTTTAAGGAAGAGGTCACCAAATAATTTTGGGCTCCAATACAGGTTTTTTCATTTATCCTAGCAATGTCTCTAATCACATGTTATAGCACATTGTGTTTCTCTTATCTCCTGCTCTGTTACTTGAACTGAAGTGAATTACACAAATTAAGCTCCTGTGGGCGCTAGCAGGCTATTAACAGAGAATGAGATAAATTCTAAATTAAACACAGTAAGTTTAAAAATCTGATGTTTCTTTAGAGTAAGTCTGTAGGTAGGTTGTATAAGTCACAGGCAACAGCTGCATAAGCAATGTGATAAAACTACTAATGGCTGGGAACTGAGATGTGAGAATGCAAGGGCATGATCTATACACTAAAAACACTTAATCAAGCTAAAGTTGTTTTGGTGCTTATGATGTCCCTTTAATATTTCACTTTCTCACATGGAGTCACACCATATTTAAAAATAAGTATTAAAAAAAAAAAAAAAAGCTGATGTTCCTATATTTGAGAGCCTTTTAATCAGGAGTTTAAATAATGAATAAAAGAAAAAAATTAATATGTATTTAAAAAAATGTGGACAACTAGTAGCACTGCAGCTATAGTGGGCTACATTTCACATTCTGCACTCCCAGCAAAGGCTAGCCATCACTGTTATTTACCATTGTATAATATCTCCCCAATGTTTAGACCATCTATTCTTTCTCTGCCATATATGACTCATTTGAATCTTTGTAGCAATTATTATGACCCCTTGCCCCAGTTCTGATTGTCAGTTCACTATCTTAGTGTCAGGTTTTTTTTATCTTAGTGCTTTTTTGCATAAATCAAAATCTATAACCACTACCAATCACATAAATTCTTCATGTTATGTGGTTTAGTACTGATCCATTTCATGTATCCTGACATGAAGAGAACCCTATCAAAGTCAACGTTGATCCAAAATATCTGGCAGTAC